GATGGAGACCATCCCGGTCAACATGGTGAAACCCCGTCTCTACTAAAAATACAAAAAAATTAGCTGGGCATGGTGGCGCGTGCCTGTAATCCCAGCTACTCAGGAGGCTGAGGTAGGAGAATTGCCTGAACCCAGGAGGCGGAGGTTGCGGTGAGCCGAGATCGCGCCATTGCACTCCAGCCTGGGTAACAAGAGCGAAACTCCGTCTCAAAAAAAAAAAAAAAAAAAAAGTGATTCATTTTCCTCAAACTAGAATCTCAAACCCAGTATTACACTGTGTTCCAGCTTCATTGAGTTTTGAACAAAAAGACCTAAGCATGCCTTGTGGTTAAGGAAAAATAATTGAAGTGTGAATGGAATCAATCACCTATTGATGTGAAGGGTGTCAGGATGATGTAGGGGGATATGCCTTTAATTGGGTAACAATAACTGTATTAAGTATAATTAATTTGTTGGTGCCATAGAAATATTTCCTTTGGAATTATGAAAATATGAAATGTTTTTTAAACTAAAATTGGTATTTTTCACTTGTTAGTTTAGTGTAATACTGACTTTTGAGGATAATTCCAATTTTACATAACATCATTATTTAATCACCTATGGAGGCACCATTCTTCATTTTAAAACACTTTTGTTAATTTATTTTGTAGTTTTAAAAATTATTTATATTTTTATTTTTTTGAGACGGAGCTTTGCTCTTGTTGCCCAGGCTGGAGTGCAATGGTGCAAACTCAGCTTACTGCAACCTCCACCTCCTGGGTTCAAGAGATTCTCCTGCCTCAGCCTCCCAAGTAGCTGGGATTATAGGCATTTGCCACCATGACCAGCTAATTTTGTATTTTTAGTAGAGATGGGGTTTCACCAAGTTGGTCAGGCTGGTTTCGAACTCCTGATGTCAAGTCATCCACCTGCCTCGGCTTCCCAGAGTGCTGGGATTACAGGTGTGAGCCACTATGCCTGGCCTAAAAAAATTATTTTTAAAATAGTTACCAGACTACTCTAAGCAGTGTGATTTTTTAAACATACTTGGATGGTAGACTCAGAGTTGTTTTTTTTTTAATAGTTTTAAGTACATTATATTAAAACTACAAACTCACTTATTCCAGCCTAAATTTTGTCATAGAACAGACTGTAAATTGGGAATCAATTTCCTATTTTGGTGCACAGTTCCAGTCTATCTACTAAGACAATCATCTTTTTAGGTGTAATATTGTTTATTAAGACATAGGTAATTTCAGGTTTTACACTTTTCTCACAGGCTTATGGAATGAAAGCTAATAGGCTGAGGTATATCACTTTCAGAATGAAATAGGGAATTGTGGCCAGCCTTCTTAAAGGTTTGCAGTAAATGATACTTAAATGTTTGTTATATCACTTATTTTCTCTTTTGAAGCTGTTGTAAATGTCTGCTTCACCATGACTGAAAATTGAGATTTGTAAACATTACAATTTGACCCATAAATTTTCTCAAACATGAAATCAGTATGAGTAAGCATAATTTGAAATGATCATATATGATAATTCCAAGAGTAAATACTTCCAAACCATAGAGGGATAAACACTGTATTTTTAAAAATATTGTTCCCACCCTTCTTTGCATGCTATTAATTACTTTTCCCCTAAATTAAAAGTATGTATTCTGGTATATTAAAAATCTGCAGAAAAAATTTGCTTAAAGTGTTTTAGCACAATAAAAATTTTTATTACTCAGGAGTTCGAAACCAACCTGGGCAACATGGTAAAACCCCGTCTCTACTAAAATACAAAAAAAAAATCAGCCAGGCATGGTGGCGGGCACATGTAATCCCAGCTATTTGGGAGGCTGAGGAAGGAGAATCACTTGAACCCTTAAGACATAGGTTGCAGTGAGCCAAGATTGTGCCATTGCATTCCAGCCTGGGTGACAGAGTGAGACTGTCTCAAAAAAAAAAAAAAGAAAGAAAAAATAACTTTTATTAGTTTCCTGAAGATGTTCTTTTTTAAACTCTTGTTTATTATATCATTAAAAAGACCTTCTAATGGTTCAGTACAGTGCATTCCTTTTGCAACATAGATCGTATGGCTAGTTCTCCAACTGTTTTTTTTTGCTTGTTTTTAATAAACCTTGCTGTTCAACAATCAGAGAAACCTTTATTTTGGAGGATTCTTCCAGCTGAGATAGAAATGTCTTAGACAATAGGAAAGGCAGATACAAAGTCCTAACATTTTTATAGTAGAGTTTACAAGTGAAAAATTTATCCACATAGGTTATCTTCATTGTGTAGCACCAGTATAAATAGTGGTTTCATTAATCATTGAATCAGATGAAGCAGTTTTAAATAACTTTTTACTTTGTGCTAAGGATTATTGTAATTTCAGGCCACTTTACTTTTTCTGAGCAGTTTCCATTGTAAGGTTGAATTTCCCTTTTTTAAATTCAGATAATCACTAAAGGTTAAGATAATCAAATAGGAGTTAAAATAAGTTATGTTTGATCTTTTTCCCTTGAAAATAATAGTGAATTTATTGTCTACATTATGATTATTAGGCAGAAATGCACTTGTTTAAATCATAGCAGTAATTACATTTGGAGGATATAATTACTCGAATTTCTAGTGGTGTGAAATACTCTTTTAAAAAAATTGTGCTTGTCTGTAACTGAAATGTTATAGAGTTGTAACACTATAGGGATTATAGAGTTATATTTATTAGCTCTCCTCAAGAGACTGAAGCACAATATTTTTCATGTAACAATTCTTATCCAAGTGCTGCTAATCTGTTGTGCAAATAATGAAGCTATTTGGTTGCCTATTTAGCTATTCACAAATCACTGTAATCTTTGAAACAATCTTGTTGTTTATTTGTATTAATATTTGGATATTGTGAGTTAATACTTTAGGAAAAAATCCATCAACTCAGCCCTGTTAGCAAAACTGTTTGGATTCATTAGTTTTTATATGTGTTAACAGTAGGATAAATTTTGAAGGGGCTATTTACTACCAATGACTAAGGGGAAAAATTATATTGTTACTATCATTTGACTTGAACATTTGTGGTATTGTAAAAGTCTTGTCAGTTGTGTTCTAAATTGCTTAAGCCATACAAAAACAGGATGTTTTTTGTTCCTTTCCAGCAGCCTTTTTCTTCTTTGTCTGTTATGGTTAATACTCCATAGATTTTAGAAATTGAGAAGTTCTTGAAATATTTTATTTTCTTGAGTTCATCACTTTTGACTCTTGTATGTGATTTGTCATAAAAGATAGCCTTTCACTACTTCACTAAATGAATTTCAGAGTAAACACTGTGATTCTGCAGAGCTGATTCCGTAGGATTTCCAATGTTTTCTCCTGTTACTCAGTGCCTACCACCTTGAGGGCACATTAATGCTAGAGGATGAAAACTGAAACGCTGTTTTGATGTTTATTGAGTAACGAGATTAGAGATTATTTGACTGATAAATGTTCTCTAGGAATGTGACTACATTCATCAGGTGTGAACTCTTGTACATGAATTTTGTATCTTGAATCCACATATATATTAAGTGTATCATCAATATAAAAATAAACATTATTTGCTTAAGGTTTTGGGTACTTTTTTTGGTATTGACAGTTTAGGGTTTGCTTCATTCAGTTATCTCAGAGGCTTTGAACTATCTTGGGGTTGTAGATTGGATGCTTCTTGTTAGTTTGTAAATGTCTGAATCCTGGTTTTGGTTTTTCCTTGCCCTGCTCCTGGTCAGAACGGGAACAAGCGAAGGTAGGGGCTGTTGAAGAACTGAGTGGAATCTACTTACTCTTGGGCTGGTGTTGAGTCTGGGGATGGAACCAGAGTTCCTTAGGTGGCATGGGTGCGGTGGCATTGAGTTCAGGGACCTGACTTAGGCTACTGATATGACTGTGACTTTTTGAGACAGAGTTTCGCTCTTGTTGCCCACGCTGGAGTGCAATGGCGTGATCTTGACTCACTGCAACGTCCACCTCCCGGGTTCAAGCGATTCTCTCCTACCTCAGACTCCCAAGTAGCTAGGATTACAGGCATGCGCCACCACGTCTGGCTAATTTTGTATTTTTAGTAGAGACGGGGTTTCACCATGTTGGTAAGGCTGGTCTGAACTGACCTCGGGTGATTCACCCGCCTCGGCCTCCCAAAGTGCTGGGATTACTTACAGGCGCGAGCCACCGCACCCCCGCCTGGACTTAGAACATGGCAGTTTTTCCTCTTCTGTATTTTTTCTTTTCCTACTGCGTGCATGATTGCTATTTATTTAAAGAGACGGAGTCTCGCCACGGTACCCAGGCTGGTCTCGAACCCCTGGGCTCAAGACATCCTCTCACCTCGATCTTCCAAGTAGCTAGGACCACGGGGGCGCGCGCCGGGCACTTTTGATGCTTTGAACCTATAAGGAGAAAGGAGACGGCCCAGCAGCGGATGGTGAAGCTAATCTAATACAGTGAGCTGCCACCAGCGTTAAGTGCATTACAGAATAAGAAAGTGGTTCTGTTGGACGTTATGTACTGGGATGCGACATAAAACGCATCATCTACAGTAGACGACAGGTGCCAAAGTGTAAAAACTGGTCCCAAGGTCTAAGGTGCCAGAACTTGTTTCTGGAGCTACCGGCTTCTGAGTGAAGATGGAAACGCAGACTTCCCAGGTGACACAGTGGCAAGGCGGCTGGCTGCCTAGGGTGCGGCGGGACCGGGCCGGGTTTGTAGCCAGCACAGCACGGCCGGGCCTGCGGCAAGGACTGGGTTCTTTTACCTTTTAACATGAAACCCCTCCCACTTAACCTCGCTCCTCACACGCCTCGGTTAAAAAAGAAAAAGACCAAGAGAGGCCTAGGAGACCCAGTCATCGTCTGCGGCACTGGCCGCTTGCTGACGTGGCGAACCGGGCTGAGGGAGCGTCCGGCTGGGTATCCGCGCCCTCCATCCGTTCCGGCCCAACCGCCGCCCAGAGACTGGAACTGTAGCCACCGAGGCCTCTCCCGGGCGCATGCGCCCGTCGAACCAACCCTGCGTGCAGTCATTTCCGGCGCGCTGGGAGACGTGCGGTTCCGGGTCACTGCTCAACTCGCCGGCCGGGCGGTGGGGGCTGGTGACGCGGGCCGGGGCTCGTGAGGGGCCCCGGAGGCGGGGCTTTGCCGGCTGCCCACAGAGCGGCAGGTGCGCGGGCCGGGACTCCGGGAATGCGAACAGGCCCCCCCCCTCATTCTCCCGGTGGCCTCGGTCTGTCCTCACAGCGGCCCGGTCGGGGTTGCCCAAGCCCCAAGGAGAGGGGGCGGCACCGGGGTGCTGAAAGGGTGAGAGTGGGGGCGGAGGCGGGCTGCCCCGGCCTGGGAGTCTGGAGCCTAGGGTTCCGGGATTCCTCCCTGCGCGACCTTGGACAAGTCGCTTCTCCTCCTTGGGGCTCAGTTTCCCTGCTGTCAAATGGGAGAGATATTGGATCCTTCCTTTCTTTGACAGTCCAAGCACGGGCGGGGCTGGAGGGAGCCTGAGGGACTGAGATCCGAACTGCCTTGGAAGCACCTGCCTGCCTCCCTGGGCGTTAGGCATCTGTGTTTACCCAACTTTGCCTTGCCTTTTCTCAGTGCACATCCGTGACCAGACAGCCCAGGGTCTGGCCAGATAAACTGTGTAAGTGTAGGAATCAACCGAGAAATAAATACTGGCCCAAGGAAAACTTAACCTCATTCAAATTGTTTTGCTCAGGGCTCCTAGAGAGAAGTGAATTTAGCCACCCACTGCTGTGATTAATTCTGTTCTATGCGCTTGTAAGTGAAGCTCTTAGATAAATAACAAATTCGTAGGATATCAGGGTTAGGGAGGGTAACCCATTGAGAGTTGTGATAGTGACAGGTTTTCTTACTCCCTTTAATCCTTTTTCCATCCCTCCTCTTCCTTCACTTCTTCCCTTCATCCCCACCTAACATTTCGGCCATACACTTGAAATATCCAATGCTTTTTATCTTTGTCTTCATGCAGGACAGAATGCTTTGACTTCCAAGCTGTTTTAAATCTAGTAGATAAGTCAGGTGAGTAAGTGGTTTACAGACATTGAAAGTAAAGTTTCTGAAGAATTGTACAGACTTAATGGATGATCTCAAGTGGTAAGATGCCATTTGTGTATCTCAGAGCAGAGCTTAGGTATCCTCCGCAAAACATGGCAAATTAAGGTTTGAACCAGAATATTAGTGTTTTATACAACATTGGGAGGAAAAGATTTTTGAATCTTACTTTGAATATCCTGTCAAACATTCTGAAGAAAAGAAACTGTGATTGGAGGCAATTTTATCAAATTGAAAACCACACATTATCTCCAGAAAGTGTTTAAGGATATCAGATACCTTATACCATATGCTTGTCTAGCTTGTCTTCTTTTTTCTGTTACCAGCTTTTTCTGTTGGACAGTTGACTGCAAACCATCCTGAAACAGTAGAATATTAGACCTTTTACATATTGAATTACGTATTGAATGTTAAATTACATATGAATTAAATTACATATGTTTTGTCTTCAACTTAAAAGAACACTGAACTGTAGTTAAGCTTATTGGAGGAAGGATTTGAAATCATTAAGTCATGAATATGTGATGTTGATGTCTGCTCTGAGAAATTTTACCAAATATGTCATATGTCATAGCCAATATGGTATAATTAAAAAAATAATTGGTAGAGATTTGTGAATCAGAGTCCTCTGTTCAAATACCAGCCCTGCCACTTAGCCACACAATCTTTGGCAGATTACTTCATCTCCTTGAGACTGAATTTCTTCATCTGTATATGCATATGAAGTACCTGAGTGCTTTTTAAATGTTTGGTAATTGTGTTTATACAAATACATGTAAGTTATGAAACTTAATTTTGAAATCTAAAGCGTAACATAACTCAGATGTGAAGTCTTTCCAGTGTTTAACTTTGAACTGTCTCTTTCATTTGATTTATAGTTCCTGTGTTGCCATAAGCCCTTGGCCCATATTTGAGTGGGAATGCAGCTAGCTTGGATGTCTGAAACTTTGTAGGCTCTTGTGTCTGAATCCTGATCACAGACACCGGGACTACCTAGAGCTCTTTATCTGTGCGGGATAACCACACAGCAAACATGTTTGCAAAACTGAAGAAGAAAATTGCAGAAGAGACTGCTGTTGCTCAGAGGCCAGGAGGTGCTACTAGGATCCCACGGTCTGTGAGCAAGGAATCAGTTGCCTCAATGGGAGCTGACTCAGGAGATGACTTTGTAAGTATCTTTACTTAAGAAATAAAGATGGCCAGATGTGGTGGCTCACACCTATAATCCCAGCACTTTGGGAAGCTAAGGCGGGCGGATCACCAGGTCAGGAGGTCGAGACCATCCTGGCCAACATGATGAAACCTGTCTCTACTAAAAATACAAAAATTAGCTGGGCGTGGTGGTGCACACCTGTAGTTCCAGCTACTCGGGAGGCTGAGGCAAGAGAATCACTTGAACCCAGGAGGCAGAGGTTGCAGTGAGCCAAGATTGTGCCACTGCACTCCAGCCTGGTGGCAGAGTGAGAGACTGTCTCAAAATAAATATAAATAAATAAATAAATAAATAAAAGATACTTTTGCAGGGAATTCTTCCAATAAATATTTTAAATTGCATGATTATTTCATACTTTCATGGTTTATAGCTGTATAAGAGCTTGCACATCTGATTCTTCTTACTCTGAGGTAGCTTTTTGTTAATGTTTGGTTTGTAAATGTTAGGTACTCTATTTTTTTTTCTTTATTTTTCTGTGAGTTCCTCTCCATATTCTCTCCAGTGTCCTCTTGTACTGTTTTTCCATCTATATACCTTGTGCATCTTCTTTTGCATTTTATTTCTGGGCCGGCTTTCTTTGCAGACATATATACTTATTTAACATTAAAATGTCTGGGCCTGTTGTCTTTGCACACATACATACTTATTTAACAAGTAAGTCATTACGGCTTAACAAGGTCTCTGAGTTGTGTTATGTGGTTTGTCAGAGTGCATTGTTGTATTGGGAAGGTTGATGGAAAGATGGCACCAGTAATGCCAAAAATTACAGTATGTTTCTTTTTCTTTTCTTTTTTTTTTTTTTTTGAGGTGGAGTTTTACTCTGAAGCCAAAGCTGGAGTGCAGTGGCGTAATCTCAGCTCACTGCAACCTCTTCCCTCCAGGGCTCAAGTGATTCTCATGCCTCAGCCTCCCAAGTAGCTGGGACTACAGGCTTGTGCCACCATGCCTGGCTAATTTTTTTGTATTTTAGTAGAGACAGGGTTTCACCATGTTGCCAGGGTAGTCTTGAACTCTTGAGCTCGGGCAGTCTGCCCACATTGGCCTCCTAAAGTGCTGGGATTACAGATGTGAGCCACCATACCCGGCCTATAATATGTTTCTTATTAGTAAAATATGTTTATGACTGGTAAGATTTCAAAACATGAAGATGTTGCTATATTAAGGAAATGTCATGCTTAAAAAATAAGGTGTGTCTTTGGCATACAACAGGATCCTTTTAAGTTAGGTGAATTTCTTTTTTTCTTGAGATGGAGTCGCACTCTGTCACCCAGGCTGGAGTGCAGTGGTGCAATCTTGGCTCACTGCAGCCTCCGCTGCCCAGGTTCAAGCAGTTCTCCTACCTTAGCCTCCCAAGTAGCTGAGACTATGCCCGCCACCACACAGGGCTAACTTTTTTGTATTTTTAGTAGAGATGGGGTTTCACTATGTTGGCCAGGCTGGTCTTGAACTCCTGTACCTCGTGAACTACCTGCCTCCACCTCTCAAAGTGATTGGATTACAGGCGTGAGCCACCAAATGAACCTATGAAACTCATTTATAGGCTGGTGCTGTGGCTCACGTCTGTAATCCCAGCACTTTGGGAGGCCGAGGCAAGCAGATCACCTGAGGTCAGGAATTCAAGACCTGCCTGACCAACCTGGAGAAACCCTGACCAACCTGGAGAAACTCTACCAAAAATACAAAATTGGCTGGGCTTGGTGGTGCATGCCTGTAATCCCAGCTACATGGGAGGCTGAGACAGGAGAATTGCTTGAATCCAGGAGGTGGAAGTTGCAGTGAGCAGAGATTGTGCCATTGCATTCCAGGCTACACAGCAAGAGCGAAACTCCAGCTCAGAAAAACAAAACCCCCAAAAACTCATTTATAATGCTTAATATATATAAAAGAATGTATATAATATATATGTAAAGTATAAAGCATAAAGTAAATCTATCATTCATCTGAAGAAATAGAACATTATCAATACTGTTAAGCCATTTATATGCTTCTTCCAATTCCCTCTACCCAATTTAGGATAGCATAGCCACTGTCCGAAATTTTGTGTTTTTCATTCACTTGCTTTTTAAAATATCCTACCAGAGTGCCGGGCGCAGTGGCTCAAGCCTGTAATCCCAGCACTTTGGGAGGCCGAGGCGGGTGGATCACGAGGTCAAGAGATCAAGACCATCCTGGTCAACATGGTGAAACCCCATCTCTACTAAAAATACAAAACATTAGCTGGGCATGGTGGCGCGTGCCTGTAATCCCAGCTACTTAGGAGGCTGAGGCAGGAGAATCACCTGAACCCAGGAGGTGGAGGTTGTGGTGAGCTGAGGTCGCGCCATTGCACTCCAGCCTGGGTAACAAGAGAGAAACTCCGTTTCAAAAAAAAAAAAAAAAAAAAAAATCCTACCAGATATGTATGTATTCATAAACGATTTATTATTTAATACTGCTTGTTTTTGAAGTTATAAAAGTTGCACACTGTAGATTTCTTGGATTTCCTTTTTTAAAATTTAATTCAGCATGCCTATAAAATGCATCCATGTTACATGAAACTGTGGTTCATTTATTTTTAGTGCTAAGATTCCAGGCTAGGTACAGAAGCTCATGCCTATAATCCCAGTGCTTTGGGAGGCTAAGGCAGAAAGATTGCTTAAGGCTAAAAGTTTAAGACCAGCCTGGGCAACATAGCAAAACCTCATCTCTACAAAAGTTTCTTTTTAAATTAGCCAGGTTGGTGGTGCTATGCCTGTAGTCCTAGCTTCATGGGGGGCAGAGGCAAGAGGATAGCTTGAGCCTAGGAGTTTCAGATTGTAGTGAGCTATGATTGTGCCACTGTACTCCAGCCTAGGCAACAGAGCAAGACCCTAAAGTCTCTAAAGATTAAAAAAAAGGATCCCAGCATTTGAGAAGGCCACAATTTATCTCTGTCTTCTCCTGGTGATAGACATTTGAGTTGTTTCCATAGTCAGGTCAATCTTCCTCCTCCTTTCTTAATACTGCCTTGATCCCAGGTCAGATTACATGGCACAAACTATTAGGTTATTGGGATGGAGCAATAAGATTACCAAATCTACATTATCATTGGTTCCTATATTTCAGAGGAAATGTAAGCACACATTTGAGCATTGGGCTGTAGGATGTAGTTTTAAGGCAGGGTTCTTTGGCAGATGGACCTGCATTGCCTTCATGCTGACATGCTAAATCAACCCGTTTATTTAGTAATGTATTCTGGATACAGAGATTGACCTGGATTCAGGAAGTACTTTGTTTGGGGGCTTCTCAAGAAATGCATTTGAACTTAATACAACCTGATCCTCAGTTCCTATCTCTAGACCCTTATGTCCAACTGCATATATCCAAGCAGATGTCTCCTCTATGGCATCTCAAATTCTAAATGATCAAAATTGATTCTATCTCCAAATGTGTACCTTCATCTTCCCAAGTCACCAGCCAGAAACGTTGGAGGTATTTTAGACTCTTCCCTCCTTTTACTTCTTGGTGTCCAGTCAGTCAGCATGCATTATGGCTTCCATTTCTTAAATGTCTTTCAAACGTGCCTCTCTACTCCATCTTCTAGTAGTACGTTTACCAGCACAGGTTAAGCATTCCTAATCTGAAAATTTGAAATCTGAAATGCTCCGAAATCTGAAGCTTTTGGAGCGCCAACATTGCCACAAGTGGAAAATTCTACACATAAATACTTAACTTTAATGTGTATTATTTAAAATATTGTATCAAATTATATTTAGGCTATATGTATAAAATGTATATGAAACATAATTTTGTGTTTACAGTTGGGTCGCATCCCCAAAATATTACATTATGTATATGCAGACATTCCAAAATCTGAAAAAATCCAAACTCCAAAACACTTCTGATCCGAAGCTGTTTGGGATGCTCAACCTATACTATCATTTGATTTCAGATTGCTTTTCTTTCTGAGACAAACTTAGTTGCCTATCTGGGTTCCCTGTCCCCAAAGTGACTTTTTTTTTTTAAGACAGGGTCTCATTGTCACCCAGGCTGAAGTACAGCACGATCACAGCCCACTGCAGCCTCAACCTCCTGGGCTCAAGCAGTTCTCCCATTTCAGTCTCTTGAGTACTTGGGACTATAGGCACGCACCACTCTACCCAGTTAATTTTTTGTAGAGACAGGGTTTTGCCATGTTGCCCAGGCTGGTCTCAAACTCCTGGGTTCAAACGATCCACCCACCTTGGCCTCCTAAAGTGCTGGGACTACAGGTGCTAGCCACTGTGCACAGCCCAAAGTGATCTTTCTAAAAGCAGATCTGTTAATGTCTCTCCAGTACTTAAAACTCATTGGCTTCCCCATCATTTTCAGGATGAAGTACAAACCCATTATTATAGTGTAATAGTAAACTGTCATGCAGCTTCCTTAGCCGGCATTATCTCACTGTACTTTCCTTCACCCTGTACTACAGCCAGCTTGAATTTATTGCACTTTCTAGAATGGACCACATTCTTTCATGCCTACAGTTTTTCCACATGCTATTTCCTCTCTCTAGAATGTCTCGTCTCCCCCTTTCACTCCTAAATTCCTCTGACAAACTGTTGTGCATCTGTTAAGTCTTTTAAGACTCAGCTCACATGTTACTTCCAGGAAACTCCCTTGACCTGACCTTCTCCTCTGGCAGCTTTCTACCCTTTACCCCTCCTGGCTGTTTGGTGCCTTGTCTTCTGCTGACCTCTGTAATAGCAGCTGCTTTATTGCATTATTATTGATGAATTGCTTGTTTGTCTCTTCCACTGAACTGGGAATTTCATGAAAGGCAATAAATAAAGTGTAGCCCTTAGGAACTCAGGTCAGGTTGTAGAGTCAGATCTGCTCTATTATTATTATGTGACTTTGGGCAAATTACTTCATTTTTCCTTGCCTCATTTTCCACATCTGTAAAATGGGGTTAGGAACTGTGTTTATCTTTATTAAAGTATGTGTGTCAGGGATCTCTAAGATCATCCCCATATTTGATTATTCACTAGGAGGACTCACAAGACTCAGCATATAGTATTACTCACTGCTACCATTTATTACAGTGAAAGGATCTAAAACAGAATCCACAAAGGGATAAGGTGTGTGGGGCAAAGCTTGGAGAAAACAGGTACAAGCTTCCAAAATTCTTCTCCTGGTGGAGTTACATAGAATGTGCTTCATTCTCCCAGCACTGAGTTGTCACAACACATGTAAAATGTCTACCAGGGAAGCTCATTAGAGACTCAGTGCCCAGGGTTTTTATTGGGGGCTGGTCATGTGAACACCCCCTGCCTACTATGTATCAAGATTCCAGACTCTGGGCCAGGCGCGGTGGCTCACACCTGTAATACTAGCACTTATGGGAGGCCAAGGCGGGCAGATCACAAGATCAGGAGTTTGAGACCAGCCTGGCCAACATGGTGAAACCCTGTCTCTACTAAAAGAAAATACAAAAATTAGCGGGGCATGGTGGCATACGCCTGTAATCCCAACTGCTCAGGAGGCTGAGGGAAGAGAATCACTTGAACCCGGAAGGCGGAGGTTGCAGTGAGCCAAGATTGTGCCACTGCACTCCAGCATGGGTGGCAGAGCTAGACTCCGTCTCAATAAAAAATGAATTCAAAAAAAGCAGTCCTTTCTGAGGATAACAGTCTGAGGCCTGTAATGTCAGTTCTTCTGCGTAGGATGTAAAGCACTTAGCATGGTGTCTGGCTGTAAGCATTTCATAATTAGCTTCTGCTGCTGCTGCTATTTTGGATAGCAGCTCTTTGTTTCACCACTATTCCTAGTGCTTAGCACAGTACTGAGACATAGGATGTCTCACTAACAGTAATAATCATAACAGCTTTGTTTTTTTTTGAGACGGAGTTTTGCTCTGTCGCCCAGGTTGGAGTGCAGTGGCGCGATCTCAGCTCACTGCAACCTCTGCCTCCCAGGTTCAAGTGATTCTCCTGTCTCAGCCTCCCAAGTAGCTGGGATTACAAATGCTTGCCACCACACCCAGCTAATATTTGTATCTTTAGTAGAGTCGGGGTTTCACTGTGTTGGCCAGGCTGGTCTTGAACTCCTGACCTTGTGATCTGCCTGCCAGTGCCTCCCACGGTGCTGGATTACAAGCATGAGCCACTGTGCCCGGCCTTCATAACAGTTTCTTATGCTTCTAGTGCAGTGGTCTGAATGTTTGTGTCCCCGAAAGTTCATATATCGAAAACTAATCACCAGAGTGATGATATGAGGAGGTGAAGCTTCTCAGAATGATTAGCCGATGAGGGAGGAATCCTCATGAGTGGGATTAGTGCTGTTACAAAAGAGGCCCAGAAAGCTGCCTTGTCCTTTCTACCACGTGAGGGCACAGCTAGAAGGTGTCATGTATGAACCAGAAAGTGGGTCCTCACTGGACACCAAATCTGCTGGCACCTTGATTTTGGACTTCCTAGACTTCAGAGCTGTAAGAAATACATTTCTGTTGTTTATAAGTCGCCCACTTTATGATATTTAATTATAGCAGCTCAGGCCGGGCGCAGTGGCTCAAGCCTGTAATCCCAGCACTTTGGGAGACCGAGGCGGGTGGATCACGAGGTCAAGAGATCAAGACCATCCTGGTCAACATGGTGAAACCGCGTTTCTACTAAAAATCCAAAAAATGAGCTGGGCATGGTGGCACATGCCTGTAATCCCAGCTACTCAGGAGGCTGAGGCAGGAGAATTGCCTGAACCCAGGAGGCGGAGGTTGCGGTGAGCCGAGACCACGCCATTGCACTCCAGCCTGGGTAACAAGAGCGAAACTCCGTCTCAAAATAAATAAATAAATAAATAAATTACTTTGGAAAAATAAAAATTGATAAGCAAATAAGGGAAAGCATCAGCAATTGTGAGAGTCAATGGAGAACGTTCATTAGACCAATCTCTCTCTTTTTCTATATTTTGAGAAATTTTATAATGAAAAGTAAAAGAGATTTTAAAAACTTGAATTATTAGCAATAGCAAGCAATGCCCATAGTAATAGTAATATTCATTTATTTTAAAATAATCTGGTTTGTTCAGGGAAACGTATGCTCTATTACTGTATTGGTTTGTTGAATGCATATTGTCTTCTAAAGTCTATGATGCAAGTTAGAGTTTTAGATTAATAACCCCTTTTTTAATTTTTTTTAAGATGGGGTTTCACCATGTTGGTCAGGTTGGTCTTGAACTCCTGACCTCAGGTGATCTGCCTGCCTTGGCCTCCAAAGTGCTTGGATTACAGGCGTGAGCCACCATGCCTGGCCTATCCCTTTGTTTTATAGATGAAGATACTGAAACTTTATTGATATCAGTGAAAGAGTCAGAGTCATAGTCATAGACCAGCGTTTTATCCCTAGTTAAAAGAACCCTCCCTACTTTATCCCAGGACTTTACTTTTGGAAAGATAAAGTGATTTTTTAATCATTGCAGATATGTTTTTTTGTATTATGTACTTGTAATATAAATTATATAATTGATATATGTAATTTATAATATAATTTATATATAATAAATACAATTTTTTGTAATTAAATATATTTTATTTTATTTTATTTTTTTTTTTTGAGACGGAGTTTCGCTCTTGTTACCCAGGCTGGAGTGCAATGGCGTGATCTCGGCTCACCGCAACCTCCGCCTCCTGGGCTCAGGCAATTCTCCTGCCTCAGCCTCCTAAGTAGCTGGGATTACAGGCACGCGCCACCACGCCCAGCTAGTTTTTTGTATTTTTAGTAGAGACGGGGTTTCACCACGTTGACCAGGATGGTCTCGATCTCTCGACCTCGTGATCCACCCGCCTCGGCCTCCCAAAGTGCTGGGATTACAGGCTTGAGCCACTGTGCCCGGCCAATTAAATACATTTTATAATTTTAGTGTTTATGTAATATAAATATTTATTTCAGTAGCATATGTGCACATGCAGTTCATCTGTTAAACATCTCCTCTCTCCTTCACATTATAAGGAAAAGATAGTGTTGCTTCCACTTTCCAGGTAGAGAAACTAGGCCCTGTTACATTAAGAAGCTTTTCAGTGATGACAGTTAATTAAAGTGTAACCAAATCTAAAATAAGACTTGTCACTTTCTGGCTCAGTACTTGATCTCACATGTATATGAATATAACCTTCCTTGTGTCTACCTCAACAGGCTTCTGATGGAAGCAGCTCCAGAGAAGATCTTTCATCCCAACTTTTGAGAAGGAATGAACAGATACGGAGGTTAGAGGCCAGACTTTCTGGTATGTCTAAGAGCTCATAAAAAGCAAACAACAGGAAATTTGCCTTGCTTGACTCTCTTCCTATGAAATAGTCATATAGGATAACTTTGTAGTTATTTTCACATACCATTTTGATCTTCTTAGGAAGGAGCAAATATACCCTCTTCTTTTTTTTAGTGTATCAAATAACGCAAATTCAAAACTGAATTTGAAAGTTTATTAAAAAAATATTTTTCTGCTCCTGAGGTTTCTAGCCATGGAAATAAAAGATACTAATAGTATATGTACAATAGATTTGCCCATCTTCTACCCTTAGCATAGCCTGCTTTCAGGTGGTAAGGGGTAGGGTTAGTATTTAAAGGGAATGTCTAACAGATATTGGATTCATCAGCACTGGAGAGAGATTGGTGCTGTGGTGCCACTTGCTGCAGCTCACATCACCTGTGTAAGTGTTGTTGTAGGTCTTCGGACCACTTTTCAATGGTATTTTCTGACTTCAGCACCTGTATAGAAGGTGTAACTCTCATTTTGTCTTTTGTGTGCAGTTTACAATTTACACAGCTCCCATTATATCCTTTGCCTGAGGAGGGCATGTTCGTGATAGGATTGTGAGTTATTATTTTGGTTTCTGCCAGTGGATACATTTGGAAAGCTTCATCCTGTAAAGTGGTTCATGGCTTCTGTGTCTCTTTTTGTCCGTTGGCCTTTTAATTCCCATTTTATTGGGGTAAAACAGCAGACCCAAATTCACCAAGTACCTGTAGTATGTGAAATATTTATATTTGTATAGCTGTCAGACTCAGATTCACCAAGTTGTATGTGAAGTATTTATATTTGTGTAGCTATCAAAGGTTCATAGCATAGCTCACAACTACCAGTTAATTATTTTGTCCTCACTAGAGCCTTATTAGGCTTAGCAAGGTTAAGGCCTCACAAGTAGTAAATGGTAGAGCTGGGATCCAAACCCAGATTTGTTTGATACTAGAGTCTTAATTACATCTGCTTTAAATTTAATTGTTGCAATCTTGCTACTCCTACTCATAAATAATATTAGTAACAGAGGTAAAGCAATCTTACATTTGTTTAATGTTAGAGAGAGAGTTATAAAATAATGTATGTGCCTTCCCCATAAGCTAGCAAGAATAGTTGGGCTTGACTTATGTTAGAGAAGGGTCAAGGAAGAGAGCTGACATTTATTGGGCCCACTATGTCCTGTGTATTGTCCTACAGTATTAGTATGAGTAATAATAATAATAGCAGTCACAATAGCAACAATAACAGTTACATTTCATAGAGCACTGTGTGCGAAGCACTTAAGGGATGTAAAATGTTTTATTATCTAATGCATCTTTTGTGGTAGGTACAATTAATATCATCATTTAATATATGAAGAAACTAATACTACAGGATCAATAATTTTCTTAAGGTCCCTAGCTAAGGACTGACAGAGTTGGGATTTGAGCTACTGTCTATGTTTTTTCTAAACTGTAACAATTTTGTTTGGCCACCTAGATAATTAATTATGGCCTTTACATTTAATATGGCATAGGTAACCCAGTTCCTGCGTAGAAAGGGAGCTCACTTTTTTTTTTTTTTTAGAAAATTAAGTGCTGCCGGGCGCGGTGGCTCAAGCCTGTAATCCCAGCACTTTGGGAGGCCGAGGCAGGTGGATCACAAGGTCAAGAGATCGAGACCATCCTGGTCAACATGGTGAAACCCTGTCTCTACTAAAAATACAAAACATTAGCTGGGCATGGTGGCGCGTGTCTGTAATCCCAGCTACTCAGGAGGCTGAGGCAGGAGAATTGCCTGAACCCAGGAGGCGGAGGTTGTGGTGAGCCGAGTTTGTGCCATTGCACTTCAGCCTGGGTAACAAGAGTGAAACTCCGTCTCAAAAAAAAAAAAAAAAAGAAAGAAAGAAAATTAAGTGCTATCACTGTAAAGACAATGCTGCACCTAAGGTGTTTGTTATAGCCCTGACTACTGTTCCTGAGTTGTGTGGACTACAAGCAGCTGTTTAGTGAGTTCACTTTGGTCTGTCCTACTGCTGAGGCTGGAAGAGGAAGTGAAAACTGAGATTTGAAATTAAGAGATAAATCTGTGTATTTCATAGCAGGACGTTTCTGATCAACAGGCTAAGCCTTATTCTTGTTCTCTATCAAGGCTAAACAAACCTGCCTTTTTGTACTCACCATTTATACACCATGGATAGTTTGTACTATACTTGTTTGCCTGTGTTGTTCATTGTTAATGGGAGGCTGTCTGCCTAGCTTTCCTTATCAGGAATGGTTTTCAGGTTAAGAAAATCATCATCATTTCCACTCATTTTTTTGTTTAATTAACTTCCTTTCCTGATGTTTGTCCATTTCTGGTATGTGCGTCACCCTCCTCACCCAAGGCTATGCTGAACAGGTCCGAAACTTGCAGAAGATAAAAGAGAAGCTTGAAATTGCATTAGAAAAACACCAGGATTGTACGTATTTTTTTCCTGCTTTTTTCAATATTTTCAGGGTTTAGTTTTTTGAAATGAAACAATAGTGTACGGTTAAGTTTGTCTTTCATGAGAGCACAGATCTTTATTTTATAACTAGTATACCTTTTAATCAGGTTGATAGAACATTTGTCTGATATTTATAAGTATACAACTTGTATTTATGTTTCCTTATGGGTGTGATTCTTAGGAGCAGGTCGTTATGTGTATCAGCTTGTCTCTATCCAGTTCAGCCCCTTTAGTTAGGCTACCCTCAGATTTTAATGAAATCTATTACCTATCCCTTAGGTCTGGATTAGGAAATCGGTTCTTGCCATAGCTTCATTACTGCTGTGTTGAGTAACTGGGAGAAATCCCTGTCATCACTCCCTCAGCAATAAAGCATACATTTTGTTTAGTCTACCATAAACCATGTGTTCTTTGGGTACCACCCAAAAAAGATGTTAATAGAAGTAGAAAGTTATTTTTTGTTGTTGATATGTACTAAAAAACTGTTAAGGAAAATAAAGTAAAAGAAAGGTTTTTTGTTTGTTTTGCTTTGTTTTGATTTTTGTTTTTGTTTTTAATTCTGATAAAGTGGTAGTAGCCATCACTTAGCATGAGCTTTAATATTTTCTGGCAACCTACCTAACTCAGTATTCTATCATTGTACCATTTAAAGAGTTACTTTTTGGCATCTTTCTAAATATATATACTTGTCTATTATAAAAAACAAAAAAAGCCGGGTGCGGTGGCTCAAGCCTGTAATCCCAGCACTTTGGGAGGCCGAGGCGGGTGGATCACGAGGTCAAGAAATCGAGACCATCCTGGTCAACATGGTGAAACCCGTCTCTACTAAAAATACAAAAAATTAGCTGGGCATGGTGGCGCGTGCCTGTAATCCCAGCTACTCAGGAGGCTGAGGCAGGAGAATTGCCTGAACCCAGGAGGCGGAGGTTGCGGTGAGCCGAGATCGCGCCATTGCACTCCAGCCTGGGTAACAAGAGCGAAACTCCGCCTCAAAAACAAACAAACAAACAAACAAAAAACAATAAGGAAACAAATAAAAACTGTGGTCTGTTACTAAGGCCAAAAGATTCTTCTGGAAAGTTGAGGTAGATCGAGCTTTTCCAAGTATCATAATCCACTTATGTCACTTTGGCCTTTTTCATTAGGTGACAGTTGTAGAGTAATCACATGGGCTATTTGTCATGCTGTTTCTGAAGTATTTCCATATCTCAAATAGAGCCTCTTTGTTAACAGCTTCCATGCGGAAATTTCAAGAGCAGAATGAGACATTCCAAGCCAACAGAGCCAAAATGGCAGAAGGACTGGCTTTGGCATTAGCCAGAAAGGACCAGGTATTTTATATGTGGCACTGCCCAAAACTGGTGGAAAGATTTCATTTAGTGACATGATTTCAAAAATCATGACATAACCTATGGAAAATATTTACAGCCTAGGAGAAGAGGAATGTTCCAAGTTCTTTAAGGTTTTCTTTGGCCTCTTCTTGTAAAGTGAAAAACTTTACAGTTTTAATCATGAAATGTGTCCAGAATGTGAGAGTATCATTCCTTGCATCTGTGTAGTTTCATAAAATTGAGAATGGAAATAGTGTATCTGTAATCTGATAGCAGGCCCCAAAATAAGAGAAAAGGTCTCTGCCCTCTGTAAACCTCTCTGAAAGTCTAACCCCCAAACATTTGCCTTTTATCCTGGAGAAGATGTTATTGATCCAGTCATAATCCATAGTATACAGAGTTCTTCCAACCTCTGTTCTCACGTTTCTTCAATCCAAACCTGCTGGACAGAGGGGAATTCCTATAATCTCAACAGATCCATCCACTGGAAGTTGCTGAATGAATAACCACAAGGAAGAAAAATAATTCTGTTACTGGTTATTACAGTAATTATTAAATGTATTTTGTTCAGAATAATCGACGGCATTTAAATTTAAGATAAGCAACAATATATTGTAATGATAATTTTGATGTATTAAGACAGTTTATTATGTTTCACTTAAGAAATTGTATAATTTTTTTCATCTGGAGAGGGTGGGTGAGTGGGTTGGTTGGTTGGTTTTAAAGTGTCTGTTCATCATCTGGGACATTTAGTAGCCAGAAAAAAAATACCATTTACCAATATTTAGTGGATAACTATGGTATGAATGTATATAAATGAAGAAATAATCTAAAATGGATAGATTCTGATTATAGGCAATCAGGATATTGCCTTTTGTGCAAATGGGTTTTTCCCCCCCCACTATTTTATGGTTTGTGAATAGGGGGCATAATTCCTTTTCTTTTGACTTATACAGATGGCATAAAGCATGTTATATAAAATCAAAATCAAATGGTAAAATTAAAATGAAAAGGAATATAATTATCAGGGATGGCAAAAGATTTCCCTTACTCCCCCAATTTCAGGAATTAATTTCTAAACGTCATTTGCAGAATTACTTAACTCAGCTGGTCCCAGCTACCCACTCCTAAGAATAATAGTACTCATGGCAACACTCCAAGGAACAAGCTGAAAAGCTGCATAAAAACGGCAGATATGGCTTTGCTTGGGTGCCCTGCTTAGTAAAAATATGTAGGTTTATATTCATGAATTCATTATATTCTAGAATCTTATGTAAAGTTCAGTTTCTTCTCCTTTTATGACTCTTGCCTTTCTTAATATTAAGCCAAGTTTACGGATTTTTTTTAATTGGCTTTTTTTGTTTTGTTTGGTTAGTTGCTTTCTGGGGAGAGTTGGGTTGTTTTGTTTTCTGAACATCCTGATATTACAGATACTCTTCCCTGGAAACCATACCTTTTTATTGTTTTGTTTTAGGAATGGTCAGAAAAGATGGATCGGCTTGAAAAGGTTAGTTCATCTTTATTTTTGTCTCATTTTCGTTGGTCTTGTCTCCAGGGTTTGGAAAACATTTTATTCAATAGCCAACATACTGATCACTCTACGACCTCTTGGAACCAGGACAATTTACCATTAGGTACTGACTTGAAAAGTTCAGATCCTCCCCTTTTTTGGTGAATGTGCAGGATGTCTTTTGTTTGCCCCTCCTGATACACTCTGCACACCCCCTCTCTTCCCTTTCTCTCTATACCAGACTGCTGATAGAGACTGTATCAGTAGGCCTCAAAATGTCCTCTGGCATCTGTTTGGGTTCAGCCAGTGGGGAACCCTTAAAGAACCATGTGTGGAAGAAGGTGTGGTCAGGATGTTTCTTCCCCCACCTTTCTCCATGTGGGGTCTCTTCAGTTTAGTTGCATTCCATGGCCAAAAGTCACAGCTTCAGTTGGACCTTTGGTTTTCCTTCTTTGTTTTTCTCTCTCTGGGTTTCCTGTAACCTCTGCTTCTTTTTGCCTCTTTATGCCCAACTGTTAGTAACACATTATCTTTTGGGGTATCTTACCCATCCCACAGCTTTGATAAGTCTCTTTATTAAACCATCTTCAAAATGCCTGATTTGACTTGGCCTTTTCTTTCCTGCTGTGGTTCTGATTGACACTGTGGTAATATTAGGAACACTTCAAGATGAAGCAGCGGGGAAGGAAGACAATTCTCAAGGCTCAGCACTGTACATATATGAGAACCTCCTGACTAGATATAGATGAGGAAAATTGATTATTCTAGTACCATTGCTTGCATAACACAACACTGTGCAGGTACCTTAAGTAATATATTCCTGGCTCCCAGATATGAACAAGAAGGTGAAATTTCAAGTCTATAATTGGAAAAACATTTTAGTTTTAAAATAATCAATAGAGTCTACTATCTTTTCTATATAACACCAAGTTAACTATTTAATTTCTGTTCTATAGAAATCTGATTATCAAGCTAGGGAATACATTAATTTTTTTTTTTTTTTTTTTTTTTTTTTTTTTTTGAGACAAGGTCTAGTTCTGTTGCCCATGCTGGAAGCATCACAGTCACAGCTCAGTGCAACCTTCTGGGTGCTCAAATGATTTTCCCACCTCAGCTTCCTCAGTAGCCGGGACTACAGACATGAGCCACAATGCCCTGCTAATTGTTTCAAAACGTTTAGTAGAGATGAAATCTCACTGTGTTTCCCAGGCTGGTCTTGAACGCCTAGACTATAGTGATCCTCCTGCCTGGCCTCCCAAAGTCCTGGGATTATAGATGTGAGCCATTGTGCCTGGCAACATTTTTATGTAAGGAAAGAATTATAGAAAAGTCCCAAGGAAACCTGTGCTTGGGAAAAAGAAAAAAATCCTCAAACATATGCTATTAATGACAGTCTTCTTAAATATAGAGGTATGGGTTAGGTTAAGATTTTCTTACCATAAAATAAACTCGTAAGATTATGGCAATTGAAATTCTCATTGAACTGTTTTTTTGTTTTTCTTTTGAGACGGAGTTTCGCTCTTGTAACCCAGGCTGGAGTGCAATGGCACGATCTCGGCTCACCGCAACCTCCGCCTCCTGGGTTCAGGCAATTCTCCTGCCTCAGACTCCCGAGTAGCTGGGATTACAGGCGCGTGCCACCATGCCCAGCTAATTTTCTTTATTTTTAGTAGAGACAGGGTTTCACCATGTTGACCAGGATGGTCTCGATCTCTTGACCTCGTGATCCACCTGCCTCAGCCTCCCAAAGTGCTGGGATTACAGGCGTGAGCCACCACACCCGGCCCTGTTTTTTTATTTTTAAAAAATTTGGTAAAGAATATCCAAATTGGACTGAACCAACTGAAAAACCTACTTAGGTTCACAAGGTTTACAAAGGCAATTTTCTCTTCATTTTGTTTTTATTTTTTAAGGAGAGGTTGGGGAAATTTTCTAAAGTAGGAAATAGTAATGAGACATCTATATAGGTCTTTGAAACCACTTTAATTGTTAAAGATTTGTTTTGGCCGGGTGCAGTGGTTCACACCTGTAATCCTAGCACTTTGGGAGGCTGAGGTAGGCGGATCACCTGAGGTCAGGAGTTCGAGACTGGCCTGACAAACATGGAGAAACTCCGTCTCTACTAAAAATACAAAATTAGCCGGGCATGGTGGTGCGTGCCTGTAATCCCAGCTACTCAGGAAACTGAGGCAGGAGAATCACTTGAACCTGGGAGGCGGAGGTTGCAGTGAGCACCATTGCACTCCAGCCTGGGCAACAAGAGCAAAACTCCATCTAAAAAAAAAACAAAAACGTGTTTTTTGCTTTTTGTTATTGTTTTTCAGTCAAGACTTAGAAACTGCAAAGCAGGATTAGTCCTTAAGAAAGTCATTTTTTGGGCCGGGTGCGGTGGCTCAAGCCTGTAATCCCAGCACTTTGGGAAGCCGAGGCTGGTGGATCACGAGGTCAAGAGATTGAGACCATCCTGGTCAACATGGTGAAACCCCGTCTCTACTAAAAATACAAAAAATTAGCTGGGCATGGTGGCGTGTGCCTGTAATCCCAGCTACTCAGGAGGCTGAGGCAGGAGAATTGCTTGAACCCAGGAGGCGGAGGTTGCGGTCAGCCAAGATCGTGCCATTGCACTCCAGCCTGGGTAACAAGAGTGAAACTCCGTCTCCAAAAAAAAAAAAAGTCATTTTTTTTTTTGAGATAGGATCTCACTGTGATGCCCAGGCTGGAGTGCAGTGTAGTGGGCACAGTCACAGCTCACTGTAGCCTTGACTTCTCAGGCTTAGGCAATTCTCCCACCTCAGCCTCCCAAGTAGCTGGATTACAAGCACATGCCCCCATGCCCCACTAATTTTTTTTGTACTTTTTTATAGAGCTGGAGTTGGTTTCCAACTCCTAGGTTCAACTGATAGGCCCACCTCGACCTCTCAAACTGCTGGGATTAGAGGCAAGAGTCCATTTCTAGAAATGATCATTTAATAAACTGTAACCCGCCGATACCAGTCATGTCTAATTTTTTTTTTTTTTTTTTTTACTCATTAACTGAAATAAGTTCTACATTTAATCTGTGTGCATTTAGTTTTTTTCAGGCATTTAATCTTACTCATTAGTCATATTTTTCAGCTAGTTCAGTGTATCACTAAGAATAGACATGTAAAATAAGTCCAGGCACAGTGGCTCACTCCTGTAATTCCAGAATTTTGGGAGGCTAAGGCAGGCAGATCACCTGAAGTCAGGAGTTTGAGACCAGCCTGGCCAACATGGCGAAACCTTGTCTCTACTAAAAGTAGAAAAATTGCTGGGCGCGGTGGCTCAAGCCTGTGATCCCAGCACTTTGGGAGGCCGAGGCGGGTGGATCACGAGGTCAAGAGATCGAGACCATCCTGGTCAACATGGTGAAACCCCGTTTCTACTAAAAATACAAAAAATTAGCTGGGCATGGTGGTATGTGCCTGTAATCCCAGCTACTCAGGAGGCTGAGACAGGAGAATTACCCGAACCCAGGAGGCGGAGGTTGCGGTGAGCCGAGATCGCACCATTACACTCCAGCTGGGTAACAAGAGCGAAACTCCGCCTCAAAAAAAAAAAAGTAGAAAAATTAGCCAGGCATGGTGGTGCATGCCTCTAATTTCAGCTACTCGGGAGGCTGAGATATGAGAATCACTTCAACCGGGTAGACGAAGGCTGCAGTGAGCTGAGATCACACTACTTCAGTCCAACCTGGGTAACAGAGTGAGACTCTGTCAAAAAACAACAACAAAAAAAGAATAGACCCGTAAAATATATCTGGACTTGCTAAACAGATGTAAGAACTTTAAAGTTCTACATAGGCCATACACAGTGGTTTACATCTATCAGTACTTTGAGAGGCTGAGCCTTCAAGACCTGCCTGGATAAGAGGGCAAGATCCTGTCTCTATCAAAAAAAAAAAAAAAAGTTCTACATAATGATTGCTCTTATTCTCTTTTTTCACCATTATTTAAAAGACATTTATTTTTAAATAAATAAATTTTCTAGTTAAAGGATTAATTTAATTAAAGAATTTGTAAATAATGCCATGTTTCTGTAAGGTGTCCTGTTATCAATGCATTATTGTCCATTGGCATGAGATTTCCTAAAGATTTTCCCTATTAAGAATTCTGCTTTTGGCCGGGCGCGGTGGCTCAAGCCTGTAATCCCAGCACTTTGGGAGGCCGAGGCGGGTGGATCACGAGGTCGAGAGATTGAGACCATCCTGGTCAACGTGGTGAAACCCCGTCTCTACTAAAAATACAAAAAATTAGCTGGGCATGGTGGCGTGTGCCTGTAATCCCAGCTACTCAGGAGGCTGAGGCAGGAGAATTGCCTGAACCCAGGAGGCGGAGGTTGCGGTGAGCCGAGATCGCGCCATTGCACTCCAGCCTGGGTAACAAGAGCGACACTCTGTCTCAAAAAAAAAGAAAAAAAGAATTCCACTTTTGGGCCGGGCACGGTGGCTCACACCTGTAATCCCAGCACTTTGGGAGATCGGGGCGGGTGGATCACGAAGTCAAGAGATCGAGACCATCCTGGTCAACATGGTGAAACTCCGTCTCTACTAAAAATACAAAAAATTAGCTGGGCATGGTGGCACGTGCCTGTAGTCCCAGCTACACGGGAGGCTAAGGCAGGAGAATTGCCTGAACCCGGGAGGCAGAGGTTGCGGTGAGCCGAGATCGCGCCATTGCACTCCAGCCTGGGTAACAAGAGTGAAACTCCACTCAAAAAAAAAGAATTCCACTTTTGGCCAGGCGTGGTGACTCATGCCTGTAATTCCAGCACTTTGGGAGGCCCAGGCGGGTGGATCACAAGGTCAAGAAATTGAGACCATCCTGGCCAACATGATGAAACCCTGTCTCTACTAAAAATACAAAAATTAGCTGGACATGGTGGTGCAAACCTGTAGTCCCAGCTACTCAAGAGACTGAGGCGGGAGAATTGCTTGAACTCAGGAGACAGAGGTTTCAGTGAGCCAAAATTGTGCCACTGCACTTCAGCCTGGTGCCTGGTGACAGAACGAGACTCCGTCTCAGTAATAAAAAAAGAATTCCACTTTCAGACTGGGTGTAGTGGCTCATGTCTGTAATCTTAGCTCTTTGGGAGGCCAAGGCAGGAGGATCACTTGAGCCCAGGAGTTCGAGGCCAGCCCAGGTAACTAGTAAGACTCTGTCTCTAAAGATAAAGAAAAAAAAAAAAAGATTTTCACTTTTATAATACAGATTACTAATGCTTTAGTTGCCTGAGTTGATGTCTTCTTCTTTCAAACAGGAGAAAGGTATTCTGACAGCCCAGTTACAGGAAGTGAAGAACCAGAGTATGAATCTTTTCCAAAGAAGAGATGAAATGGATGAATTAGAGGGGTTCCAGCAGCAGGAACTAAGTAAAGTAAAGCACATGGTAGGCATTTTTGTTTCAGTAGCTAAATACTGAATAGATGATTATACACTCTGATTTTTACCAGTTATCACTCTCTAATTGCTGATAAACATACACCAATAATATTTGACATTAATCATATTTGTATGTTTTTAAATTTATTAAAATGGAAAAGTTGTGTTTGAAATGTTCTTTTTCTGTTTTTGTTTTTGTTTGTTTGTTTGTTTTTTTAAACAACTGGGCATATAAATCCTCTTATAAGCCCATAAAAATGTTATAAAAGTTTGGCTATTGGTCCACATTTTTTTTTTTAATAGATGGAATCTCACAGTGTTGCCCAGGCTGGAGTAGAATGCTACTCAGCTGTCATCATAGCACGTTGTAGCCTCAAACTCATAGGCTCAAGCTCTCCTCCCACTTTAGCCTGAGTAACTGGAACTGTAAGCATGTACTACAGACGTGTGCCACCATGCCTGAGGAGTTTAGATTTTTTTTCTTTTCTTTCTTTTCTTTTCTTTTCTTTCTTTCTTTTTTTTTTTTTTTGAGATAAGGTCTCGCTGTGTTGCCCAGGCTGGAGCAAAGTGGCATGATCATGGCTCACTGCAGCCTTGACCTCCTGGGCTCAAGGGATTCTTCGACCTATGCCTCCTGAGTTGCTGGGATTACAGGCACAGTACCATGCCTGGCTAATTTTTGTATTTTTTGTAGAGATTATGTTTCGCCATGTTACCCAGGCTGGTCTCGAACTCCTGGGCTCAAATGATATACCTGCCTCAGCCTCCCAAAATGGTGGGATTACAGGCATGGGCCACTCTACCCAGCCCAGATTTGTTCTTGGGTGTTTTTTTTTTTTTTTTCTTGAGATGGAGTCTGGCTCTTTCACCCAGGCTGGAGTGCAGTGGCACAATCTTGGCTCTCTGCAACCTCTACCTCCCAGGTTCAAGCAATTCTCCTACCACAGCCTCCCAAGTAGCTGGGATTACAGGCGCCCGCCACCATGCCTGGCTAATTTTTGTGTTTTTAGTAGAGACAGGGTTTTTTGATGTTAGCCAGGCTGGTCTTGAAATCCTGATCTCAAGTGATCTATGTGCCTCGGCCTCCCAAAGTGCTGGGATTACAGGCACAAGTCACCACACTTGGTCTTAAGTGTATTTTTCTTAGCATAGCCCAGTGAAACTTTGTGTTTTTGTGTCAGCTTTTAAAAAAAGAAGAAAGTCTAGGGAAAATGGAGCAAGAGTTGGAGGCACGAACCAAAGAACTTAGTCGTACCCAGGAGGAGTTGATGAACTCCAATCAGATGTCATCAGACTTAAGCCAGAAGCTAGAAGAATTGCAGAGACACTACTCAACGCTGGAAGACCAGAGGTTCTTGCTTGGTCTGTGGGGCCCTTGGGAAGAGGTGTTAGTGTAGTTCTGGCTATAGCCTGCCCACCTTTACCCATTGTTCATTACACCACTTTCTGATTCCAGTGCTGGCAAAGGCTTCTGGACACATCCTTACCTGCTTAGGACTCAGGCCCCACCCTACCTCCAACCCACTTTACCCTTCAGCTGCTGAAGCTCAAGACAGTTCCAGCCCTGCTGAGCAATTCAATGTGGTTTTAGTTTGTAAGGTATTATAGACTAAGCAAAGGCAGGTCAGAATTTCTTTTTCTTTTTTTTTTTTTTGAGATGGAGTTTCGCTCTTGTTACCCAGGCTGGAGTGCAATGGCGCAATCTCAGCTCACTGCAACTTCCGCCTCCTGGGTTCAGGCAATTCTCCTGCCTCAGCCTCCTGAGTAGCTGGGATTACAGGCACATGCCACCATGCCCAGCTAATTTTTTTGTATATTTAGTAGAGATGGGGTTTCACCATGTTGACCAGGATGGTCTCGATCTCTTGATCTCATGATCCACCCACCTTGGCCTCCCAAAGTGCTGGGATTACAGGCTTGAGCCACTGCGCCCGGCAGGATTTCTTTCTTAAACTAGAGTGGATTTTTTTCTCTTTGGGATCCTGCTTCAGAGAGAGCCGAGGCTTTTTCCATTGAAAACCTTCATGTGGCTAATAATGCTTGTAGGCCTAACATAGAAGGAACCATTTGTATTTTTCCTGCAGAAGACTGTATTAGATGAAATATCCAAATTTGTTCATTGTCTGCTTTCTTTTGATGAAGAGATCATGTGATAGCTTCAAAAACAGGTGCAGAAAGTAAGATCACAGCCCTGGAACAAAAGGAACTAGAGCTTCAAGCACTCATTCGGCAGCTTTCCACTGATTTGCAGAAGGTAAGTAGAATATGAGGAGAAGACCTAGTTTTTTTTTTTTTTTTTTGAGATGGAGTTTTTTGCTCTTGTTGCCCAAGCTAGAGTCCAATGGTACGATCTTGTCTCAGCACAACCTCTCCCTCCTGGGTTCATGCAATTCTCCTGCTTCAGCCTACTGAGTAGCTAGGATTACGGACATGCACCATCAGGCCTGACATATTTTGTATTTTTAGTAGAAACGGGGTTTCTCCATGTTGGTCAGGCTGGTCTCGAACTCCCGACCTCAGGTAATCTGCCCACTTCAGCCTCCCAAAGTACTGGGATTACAGGCATGAGCCACTGCACCCGGCCAAAGACCTGGATTTCTAGGATACATAAAAAACTAATTCTTTCAGAAATTTCTGCCTGAGAGTGGCTACTGAACATAGGTTTCTCATGCAGTGCACATTGCTCCATTTCCTGTTCTAGCCAGGCTACACTCAGATGGAAATGACCATACAGCTGAATAAGGATTGCTTTACAGAAATAGTCAGTATTTTCCTGTCAGGAATTCTTAAAGTACATCATTTGGTCCACTCAAATCTGTCTTTAAGCATGTAATGGACCTTCTGCACTCCAGCCTGGGCAGCAGAGCAAGACTCTGCCTCAAAAAAAAAAAAAAAAAAAAAAAATAGTGGCTGACATGACCAGGGTTATACCTTTGACATACTTGGCTCTAATGCAGTTTGTTCTATGGCACATAATCAAATGATATCATTACAATTTGTTTTTTCATTTCATTGATGTACATTTATTTCCTTCCTATACTAGGGCTATGCTAAACTCTGAGAATATAAAGATGAACAGTAATATTATTGAATATAAAGTGGTTTTTCTGAGGCCCAGCACAGTGACTCAAGCCTGTAGTCCAGCACTTTGGTAGGCCAAGGCAGGAGGATCATGTGAGGCCAGGAGTTTGAGACCAGCCTGGGTGCCAGAGTTTGACCCTATCTCTACCAAAAAAAAACCAAAAATTAGCCAGGCATGGTGATATGCACCTGTAGTTTGGGAGGCTGAGGTGGGAGGATCACTTAGGCCCAGGAATTCAAAGCTGCAGTGGGCTATGACCATATCACAGCACTCCAGCCAAGGCAACAGAGCAAGACTGTCTCTAAAAATGAAAATAAGGCCGGATGCGGTGGCTCACGCCTATAATCCCAGCACTTTGGGAAGCTGAGGTGGGCAGATCACCTGAGGTCAGGAGTTCGAGACTAGCCTGGCCAACATGATAAAACCCCATTTCTACTAAAAATACAAAAATTAGCTGGGTGTGGTGGCATGTGCCTATAATTCCAGCTACTTGGGAGGCTGAAGCAGGAGACTCACTTAAACCTGGGAGGTGGTGGTTGCAGTGAGTCAATACTGTGCCACTGTGCTGCAGCCTGCCTGGGCGACAGAGAGAGACTCTATTTCAAATAAATAAATAAAAATAAAGACATATTTCTTATTGGCATTTTGAACAGAACAACTTGTATGATTGTCCATTGCATTGCAGGACGTTTAGCATTCCTGGCCTCTGGGTTCTGAATGCCAATAGCATCCTTCAGCCATCCACCCTACCCTCATCTTTTGAGAAACACTGATTTTAAATGAGACAGGGCCTTATAGCATAATTACAGTACAGAAAGATTTTGTCAATAGAGGTTTATATACTCCTCCTAGCTAAGTATTATCATACTTACAGATACGTAAGTGGACTAAGAGGTTATTGACCTTGTTCACAGTTATACAATAAGTGACAGAGTTGGATTCTAATCCAAGTCTTACTCCAAAACTCATGCTTTTTCTACTGCACTGTGCTACCTCACAATAAGGAGCCCCCAGTAAATATATCTTACATGAATAAATGACTGTGATGCAAGCTCTCTGCCCTCAACAAACATAAAATCTCCACATGGACATTGTTTTCCTTCAGAAGCTAAATATACATATATATATATGATTTGAGTTTAATTGTAGAACTCAAACCTACTGTAATCACAAGAAAAATGCTTAAACAAGAGGTCTCAAGTAAATGAACTAGATTTTTCTTTCTTTTTTTTTTTTTTTTTTTTTTGAGACATGGTCTTGCTCTTTCACCCAGGCTGAAGTGCAGTGGCATGAATGGCTCACTGAAGCCTTGATCTCCCAGGCTGAAGCAATCCTTCCACCTGAGCCTCCCAAGTAGCTGGGACCACAGACACATACCACTACAACAGCCTTTTTTTTTTTTTTTTTTTTAAATTTGTAGAGATATGGTTTCACTATATTGCCCAGGCTGGTCCGAAACTCCTGGGCTCAAGCAATTCACCCACCTCAGCTTCCCAAAGTGCTGGGATTACAGGGGTGAGCCACCACACCTTGCCCTAGAATGTTCAGATAAAAAAGATATGCCATAGGGGAAGTACATTTGAGCCCAGGAGTTAAGGAAATCTTCCTGGAGGAATTGGAATGTCAAGGATCAGGAGGACAGCAGGAGGCAGAGAAGGCAGAAGGTTAGAGAGTACATTTGGGGTCAAGGAAGAAGGGGGACAATAGACACACAACTTTGGTTTTTGTCTTCTTTTTTTTTTTTGCAGGGTCTCACTTTGTCACCCAGGCTGGAGTGCAGTGGTGCGATCTTGGCTCACTGCAATATCCATCTCCTGGGCTCAAGAAGTCCTCCCTCAGCCTCCTGAGTAGCAGGGACTACAGGCACATGTCACCATGCCTGGCTAACTTTTTGCCTGGCAAGAGACAGGATTTCACCATGTTGGCCAGGCTGATCTTGAACTCCTGGCCTCAAGTGATCTGCCTGCCTCACCCCCCAAAGTGCTGGGATTACAGGCATGAGCCACCATGCCTGGCCACAACCTTGGTATTCAAGGGACCCTTTGATGTCAATTAGAATCATCTGTTGTTTTTATAATTGGAAAAATGGGGCTCAGGGAAGTCCAGACTGTTGTCACAGTAAGTTTCTTCATTTGTTCTGAAAATGCTAGTTGAGCCTTACTATGTGCTGACCTCTGTGATGGGTGTTTGAAATATTATGGTGAGCAAAGTGGATACTGTTCTTGCCTTTGTGGTACTTACAGTCTAGAGGAGAACTCAGACGTTAATCAGTAACGACATATATAATTACTAAGTGTGATGAATGTTCTGAAAGAAAACTGTAAGATGTTGTGGGATCCTATTAAAAAATATCAAATCAGATCCAGTCTTGGAGTCGTAGAACACTTAAGGAAGTAACACTTGATGCAGTGCTCAGGCTGAAGAGAAAGGGATGATGGGAGAGATTTCAAGCAGGGAACAACATGAACAAAAACTCTGAGGCAAATAAAAGAATTAGCACATTCAAGGAACTAGAAGAAAGCCAGTGACATACAGAATAAGGGAGAATAACAGATTACTCTGACGATTAGGAGACTGAGAGGGTCTTCCACTTAGGAAGCTTTTGCAATTGTTCAACCATAAGATGATGGAGGCTTTGACAAGAGTGGTGGTGAACATAATAGTGAGTAGAAAAGTTTAAGAAATATTGAAGAGGCTGAGCGCGGTGGCTCAAGCCTGTAATCCCAGCACTTTGGGAGGCCGAGGCGGGTGGATCACGAGGTCTAGAGATCGAGACCATCCTGGTCAACATGGTGAAACCCCGTCTCTACTAAAAATACAAAAAAATTAGCTGGGCATGGTGGCGCGTGCCTGTAATCCCAGCTACTCAGGAGGCTGAGGCAGGAGAATTGCCTGAACCCAGGAGGCAGAGGTTGCGGTGAGCCGAGATCGCGCCATTGCACTCCAGCCTGGGTAACAAGAGCGAAACTCCGTCTCAAAAAAAAAAAAAAAAAAAAGAAATATTGAAGAGATTGACAGACTTACTAATGTAATAGATATTGATGGAGAGCAAGAGAAAAGTCTGTGTTATTAGGAGTGATTTATGGGCTTCTGGCTTGAGCAAAAGAAGAGATGGTATTGCATGAACATTGTGAATTTGGAATTTGTTTTTTACTTGTCTTTATTGAGTAAATATAAAATAATATTTATAAAATATAAGTATGATAGAAAGTATAACAAGGCAATGAGCCCTCTGGGCCATCCCTCAGTTTAAGAAAAAGAACAATGTGTTTATCTTTGAGGTTTCCTTTGTGCCCTTCACTATTCCATCCCATTCCTTTTTCCTTTGGAAGTAAGTACTATCCAGAGATGCTGCATTGTCTGCTTTGCTTTATAATTTTGCCAGTTTTATCCCTAAACAGTATCTTCTTTAGTTTCCCATGCTTGTTAATGTTATGTAAATGAAGTCATTCTGTAGATATTTTTCTTTTTTTTATTCATGTATTTATTCCACAGTCAAAATAAGTCATAATTTTTTTTTTTTTTTTTTTTTTTTTTTTTTGAGATGGAGTTTCGCTCTTGTTACCCAGGCTGGAGTGCAATGGCACGATCTCGGCTCACCGCAACCTCCTCCACCTCCTGGGTTCAGGCAATTCTCCTGCCTCAGCCTCCTGAGTAGCTGGGATTACAGGCACACGCCACCATGCCCAGCTAATTTTTTGCATTTTTAGTAGAGACGGGGTTTCGCCATGTTGACCAGGATGGTCTCAATCTCTCGACCTCGTGATCCACCCGCCTCGGCCTCCCAAAGTGCTGGGATTACAAGCTTGAGCCACCGCGCCCGGCCTAAAATAAGTCATAATTTAAAGCTATAACATTTTTAAAAGATAAAGGAGAATTTTCGTCAAAGCTGCATTAATAAAACAGACACCAGTCTAAAGTGCAACACTAAGCAGGTGTTCTCTGTTCCCATGGTGGAATAAATACACACAGTTACACATAAGATTTCACTGAAGATAGATGAGGCAAATAACGCTTTGAAATGAACTGCCCAATGAACAGAGGCATCTTTTAACATCTTCCTGCAAAATGGAAAAAATCCCTGAGGTGACTACTAACTCGAACCCCTCATTTTATGCATATGGCCTTGGCTTCTGTATTTTTTCCACACCCACATCCAAATCCAGAAAGGCTTCTGTACCCCATGCTCAAAAAAAACGCAACCTCAAGTCCCTGAGGCACAGACTGACATTAATAAGTCTGTGTGCAACTTTCATCCAGAACCTCCAGGGAAATCGGGAGCACAAACACAGAGCACAGCACCGTTTCTTTAAACAATGGCTTTAACTGTGGAGTGAGCTCTGACAAGCCATATGCATTCCATAAACAAACCAAAATATCGTCTTCGTATCTTCCTATTTTTCTTGCATTTTTAAAAATGTTAAGCCATCCAAGTTAAAAAAAAAAAAAAGTTACCAATCAAAAAGGAAATTCAAAGGGTTTATACCAAAAAAACAAACCCATCCTCTGTAGCCTAACTCATTTTTTGGGCTGTGCAGCCATGTAGAGGGCGATCAGGCAGTAGATGGTCCCTCCCACAGTCAGCGCCATGGTGGTCCAGTAAAGCATTTGGTCAGGCAGGCCTTGTTTCAGGTAGATGGGCACACCATCAACTTTCTGGAAAAACTTCTGCAGCTCTGGAACTCTGTTTTCTCCAGCATAATCATACACTGTGGAATCGGAGGTCAGTTTAGTTGGTGTGGCAAATATGATAGGAGGTGCTTCTGTGGGAACCACAGGCTTTAATCCCTGTGGGCTGTAGGCCTCCAAAGCCCATGTTCCCACCAACTTCTGCATGAAGTCACTAAATTTGTAGTATATGACCCCCGGACTCCGGCTTCCTGCCTCTATAGGTGTTTTTCTAAACTTGCTTTTTATGCTCAACGTTGTGTTCCTGAAAAACATTCATATGATACCTGGAGCTATAATTTATTTTTTCTCAATTATATAGTAATATAGTAAGGACATATCAAAAATTTAATTTTTTTTTTTTTTTTTAAGACAGAGTCTCACTCTGTCACCCAGGCTGGAGTGCAGTGGTGCAATCATGGCTCACTGCAGCCTCAAATTCCTGGGCTTATGCGATCCTCCCACCTCAGCCTTCCACATATCTGGGACTATAGGCTCATACCACCACAACTAGCTAATTAAAAAAAAAATTTTTTTAAGAGACAAGGTCTTGTTATGTTGCCCAGGCTGGTCTTGAATTCCAGGGCACTAGCGATTCTCCTGCCTCAGTGCTGGGATTACAGGCATGAGCCACTGTGCCTGACTGTGTGAAGATTTTTAATTATCAAATAGATTTCTTTGATGGTAATTCTAAATTTATGTATTTCTTCCTAAGTTTTGTTAGTTTATATTTTTCTACATAATTGTTCATTTGCTATAAATTTAATGTTTTGGCATTATATTTCTCATATTCTTTTTTTTTTAGTTTCTGGCCTGTCTTCAATCCTAGTAGTATTTATGCATTTTCTATTTTTTTCTAGTTTATTCTTACCAGATGTGTGTCAGTTTGGGAACAAAATTTGACTTTAATTCTTTTCACTTTGTTTTTATTTAACCCACAGTATTCACAATTACACATTTTTTTACTCTGCTAGATAGTAGTTCCTCAACTGTAGCCATTATCTTTCCACTTACCAATTTATGTTCTTCCTAACCTGTATTGTACTTAACATAATATTTTCATGGAATTCACCTTGCTTTTTTTTTTTCTTAAATAAGTTTTTTGTTGTTGTTGTTTGTTTGTTTTGAGACAGTCTCGCTCTGTCACCCAGGCTGGAGTGCAGTGGTACGATCTCGGTTCACTGCAACCTCCACCTCCCAGGTTGAAGCGATTCTCCTGCCTCAGCCTCCCAAGTAGCTGGGACTACAGGCGTGTGCCACCATGCCCAGCTAATTTTTGTGTTTTTAGTAGAGACAGGGTTTCACCATATTGGTCAAGCTGGTCTTGAACTCCTAACCTCATGATCAGCCCACATTGGCCTCCCAAAGTGCTGGGATTACATGTGTGAGCCACCATGCCCAGCCCTTTTTTTGTTGTTTTTGAGACAGAGTTTCGTTCTTGTTGCCTAGTCTGGAATGCAGTGGCATGATCTCGGCTCACCACAACCTCCGCTTCCCTAGTTCAAGCGATTGTCTTCTCAGCCTCCTGAGTAGCTGGGACTGTAGGCTTGTACCACCATGCCTCCATAATTTTTAAAATTTTTCTTTTAAGATGGGGTTTCACCATGATGGCCAGGCTGGTTTTGAACTCCTGACCTCAGGTAAACCACCATGCCCGGCCAATTTTTTTTAATTTTTAGTAGAGATGGGGTTTCACCATATTGGTCAGGCTGATCGGTGATCTACCCAACACAGACTGCTAAAGTGCATGGATTACAGGCATGAGCCACCACGCCAGGCCCTTTTTGTTTTTTTTTAAATATAGAGTTTCACTTTTGTTACCCAGGCTGAGTCCAGTGTCACTATCTTGGCTCACCATAACCTCCGCCTCCTAAGATCAAGTGATTCTCCTGCCTCAGCCTCCCGAGTAGCTGGGATTACAGGCATGTGTCACCATGCCCAGCTAATTTTGATTTTTAGTAGAGGCGGGGTTTCTCCATGTTGGTCAGGCTGGTCTCAAACTGCTGACCTCTAGTGATCTGCCCGCCTCAGCCTCCCAAAATGCTGGGATTACAGGTGTAAGCCACCACACTTGGCTGTTCTTTTTTTTTTTTTTTTTTTTTTTTTTTTTTCAATTTTTTTCAATTTTCTTTTAATTTTTTTACTTTTGTAGAGAGAGGCTCTTCCTCTGTTAACCTGAGCTGGTTTTGATCCTCCTGGCTTTAAACAAGCCGCCTGCCTCGGCCTTTCACAGTGCTGGGATTACAGGCATAAGCCACCAGTCTCAGCGCAATAATTAACATTTATAATGAAGGAAAAAAGGCATATTGGGAGAACTGAAAGGATAGCTAAGTGGCTAGAGCTTAGAGAGGAAGTGGAAACACTGATAGATGAGGCTGGGAAGGTATGCAGGGGCCAGCTGTATAGACTATATAGTGAGCATGAAATTCCATAAGTAATCATTACTAAATATTTAACAAGAATAGCTGAGCATTTACCCTGAGCTCAGTTTTCAAGTGCCTTACAGATAGGGACTCATCAAGTCCTCACAACTACTCTTTGATTAGACATTGTTTTCCTGTTTTACAGACGATAGTAATGAGCATCTGAGATCTAAGGCTAAATGATTTGTTAAGACCATACAGCTGGAGTAAATGACAGGCAGGATTCAGACTCCTGTCTGTCTGAATCAAGTGACCACACACCCAGAATTGACACAGTTCAGATTCTGGGACTGTAACTGTGAGGCCCAGACTTGGTAGGGAGTAGGTGAAAAGGGTGGTTATTAGGAAAGGAGCAGGTTTGGTGTCAGGGAATGTTGCTTGGTAGCTGTTCCAATAGTCCACATGAGGTATAGAGGGCCTGAAGTAAATCAGCCAGCCTGCAGATGGAGGTTGCATATCGATACATTGCACAAGAGGCATAAACGGAACTTGGCCACTGATTCTTTTTCCGTCCCTAACTTTGCCTATCACAGTGACCTGTGTAAGATGTGGTGTTTTTGTTTTAACTGGAAAGGGCCATGTATACCTCTTGAATTCAGATTGATGTGTAAAAGAAAAACTGCGGGCTTTGAATCCAAAAGACCTGGATTTAAATCCTTAATCTGTTGCTAATAGCTATGTGCCTTTGGGCTAGTCCCTAAACTTCAGTTTCCTTGTAAATGGATGTGATAAAGAGTGTTTGTAAGGACTGGACATAATAGGAAGTGCCTGCACCGTTCCCTATGTCTGTCCTTATGCTGTTACCACACCGCTTTGATCATTGTCACTTTAGAGTAAATCTTGAAATCAGGTAGTATTAGTTCTCCAACTCGTACATCAACAGTTATTCTTTTACAAGGTTGCTGCTGCTGCTGCTCTTGCTATACCATGCTATTACAGTTATTACTATTGCTATTATTAACATTATTAATAAGGAACCCATAAAGATGGATCAACATGACCAAACCTGTTTTGTTTTGTTTTCCTATAAACTCACTCTCTCTTCTGTGTTATCTGCCTTTCGTAGTTACCATTTGCCCAGGTGGCTGAGCCACAGACCTGGGAGTTGTGTTCAGCCGTTCTTTCCTCCTTACCCAGCCTCTATCCTTGCAGGACTTGTCTGTTACCTCTTTTCATGTGCTGCCCTTTATGCAGAATTCTTGTTCCTCTTCCACCCCCTTTCAGCTGGACTTACACATTCACGAGGCCTGATCTGATTCTCCCAGTTAATCCCTCCTGCCTCTGATATCTCATAGCACCTTGTGTGTCCCTCTGTTGAAGCACAGTTGTATTGTTTTGTAATTAGTTGTGTCTGTCTCCACCACCAGCCTCCATGCTGGAATTATGTCTGATTGTATCCTCAGAAAACAGCAGATAGAGTTGAGGCTTGATAAAAGTTTATGGAATTGTGGGGAATCTAGTCTTCAGACTTCCCCTCCTCTATCTCTGTTGTCTACCTGTGAGAATTCAGAATGGCAGATGCTTCTTCCCCAAACCCTACTCCCTGATTGCTGCATCTTATTCTGAGGAGAGATTGGCCAAGTTACAACTGAACATGAAAGTTTATGGCTTGAGATGAAGAAACAGAAGTGTAAGATGAGGGAATTTGAGGTGGCAGAGTATATGTGAAGAGGTAACAAGTCTTCACAATAAGATTTTGTTGTCATACAACCTTTTCTGGGGAAGAATGGGCATCCTCAATAGGGATGTAAGAACTCGTATATTCAGAGCTTCCTGGATCCTCTGCTTTGACATTGAGCAGTGATTTGGTTAAGCTCTCTGTCCCCACCCAAATCTCATCTCAAATTGTAATCCTCACATTCAAGGGAGGGACCTGGTGGGAGTGATCAGATCACAGAGGCAGATTTCTCCCTTGCTGTTCTCGTGATAGTGAGTGAGTTCTCATGAGAGCTGACGGTTTTACATATGGCACTTCCCCCGTCACTCACTCTGTCTTGCCGCTGTGTAAGAAGTGCCTTGCTTCCCCTTCTCCTTCTGCCATGCTTGTAAGTTTCCTGTTGCCTCCCAGCCATGTGGAACTGAGTCAATAAACCTCTTTCCTTTATAAATTATCCAGTCTCAAGTATTCTTTATAGCAATGTGAGAATGACTAATACAAGCAGCAGTTGAAGATTATTAGTAGTAAAAGGAACCAAGTTAGTCCCAACCTGCCACTACTCCCACTACCATCATTGTGAAAGAGATAGACTGAAATAAAATGGGGAGCTCTTGGTCTGGGGCCAAGGTGTCAGAGGTACATCAGCTCTGCTGTGGTACCTGTGCTATGAGCCAGGTGAATCTCATTATTTCAGAAGTTCTCTCTTCAGCCTTAAAGCAGCTGCATCAGCACTGTTACTGCTTTATCCAGCCCCTCAACTTTCAGGAGCACTGTTCCATAGGTCAGTGCAGGGCAGGCTAGGAGCTTCATTCGTTCTTCTGCCTCTACCAGGTAGGTAATGCCTTTGTTCCAGACTGTGAGTTGTTTAAATTGGGAAGAGTGTTTGCTTCTTGCTGCACTAGGTCTGAGCTAGATGCCTGAGTTTTGCTAGGTTCTAATCTTGGATTTTCTGTGTCCCATTTTCAAGAAAGATCCCTTATCTGCATGTTTTTCTAGGATACGGTTGAGGACAGAATTGCAGGAAAATGTGATGGCCCAAGAGAAAGCAGGAAAGAAGGAAGAGAGGGCTTATAGTATAAAGTGATCTCTGCTTTCTTTCACCTGCAGGTCACTGCTGAAACTCAAGAGAAAGAAGACATTATTACACATTTGCAAGAGAAGGTTGCATCCTTGGAGAAAAGACTAGAACAGAACTTATCAGGAGAAGAGCACATTCAAGAACTCCTGAAAGAGGTAACTTCTGTTCTCTTTGTTCTGGCTGCTGTTGGAAAGGCAGGGTTGATTCTGGTGATTTCATAAATCCTAGAGTTTCAGAGCTGTAGGGCCAGCAAACAGCATGGTAACAAGAGAACTGTCTTCAACTTTGGCTTGTCCTGCTTACATCAGAAACAGCCTCATGTCCCCTGTGGATGGCATGCTTTTCTCAGGGAAAGAGAGAGCTGTATTCAGAGATACATACAAGCAGATAGCATCTCATCACCAGTACACCACACCTAGTGATTTCCATCACTTGGGCTGCCATGTCTTTCTGCACTGCCCTCTTCCCACCATTTTGTACTCTGCACTGGCCAAGGAAAATAGCTACATCTGCTTCTTGGTATGAGCAAGAATTACCTCGGGCAGAATTCTCTCCTTCTCGAGGGAAGCTGTTGTGCAGACTGGCCTTTTGCCCAGTGGCGCAAGTCAACTTTCTCATCAGGCAGAGCTAATTGTCTGCACACATTCTGCTCTTCCTTCTCTTTCTGTTCCAGTGATTGGCCACGCTGTGACAAAGGTGACAGCCAAGGCCCCAGGGCTCCTCCTAGATTAGACCCTCCCTCTCTGTCTTCAGTCAGTTTCAACTAAATATCTCCATCTCCACTGCCACTGGTTGGACTTCAGGGTTTCCAGCAAATCTAGCCTAGTCTATGTTAAAAGTCTCCAGACTGGCCTACCCAGCATCAGTCTCTCTTCCTTCACCTTCTGACACAGTCTTCCATACTCACTGCCAAACTGATCCTCCTAATCAGCATTGCTGACCGTATCCCCGTCTTAAACATCTTCTACAGTTCCTTTCAATGGATTACAGTAAGTGTAATGTGGGTTCTAGGGAGTAAATTGATTTCTAGAATCAGACTGCAAATGCTTGTATTTTGCCTCTTCTACTTACTAGCTGTGACTTAGAGCAGTAGTCCCCAACCCTTTTGGCACCAGGGACCAGTTTCGTGGAAGACAATTTTACCACAGATGGGGTTGGGTGGGGGCGGGTGAGGAGGTGGTTTCAGAATGAAACTGTTCCTCCTCTGATCATCATCATCCTTAGATTCTCATAAGGAGCACACAACCTGGTTCCGTCACGTGCAGTGCACAATAGGGTTCACGCTTCTATGAAAATCTAACGCTACCTCTGATCTGACAGGTGGAGTCAGGCGGTAATGCTTATTCACCGCTCACCTCCTGCTCTGCGGCCTGGTTCCTAACAGGCCACAGACCTGTACCTGTCTGTGGCCCGAGGGTTAGGAACCCCTGCCCCAGTAAAATTGGTTTTATTATAATACTAAACTCAGAATTATTGTTAGGGTTAAATAAGTTACCATATGCGAAGTGCTTAGAATGATGACTGGAACATAGTAGGGTCTCAGTATATGTCAGCTATTAACATGATCATAATTCTTACTGTGCCATCACCATTACTATAAAATTTAATGTTCAGGCCGGGCGCGGTGGCTCAAGCCTGTAATCCCAGCACTTTGGGAGGCCGAGGCGGGTGGATCACAAGGTCGAGAGATCGAGACCATCCTGGTCAACATGGTGAAACCCTGTCTCTACTAAAAATACAAAAAATTAGCTGGGCATGGTGGCGCGTGCCTGTAATCCCAGCTACTCAGGAGGCTGAGGCAGGAGAATTGCCTGAGCCCAGGAGGCGGAGGTTGCAGTGAGCCGAGATCGCGCCATTGCACTCCAGCCTGGGTAACAAGAGCGAAACTCCGTCTCAAAAAAAAAAAAAAAAAAAAAATTTAATGTTCATAGAAATTACTTGGGAAGTTTGTTTAAAGTATATACCTCTAGGCCAGTTGTGGTGGCTCATGCCTGTAATCCCAGCACTTTGGGAGGCTGAGGCGGGCAGATCACTTGAGGTCGGGAAATCGAGACCAGCCTGGCCAACATGGCAAAACCCTGCCTCTATTAAAAATACAAAAATTAGCTGGGCATGGTGGCAGGTGCAGTAATTCCAGCTACTCAGGAGGCTGAGGCAGGAGAATTGCTTGAACCCAGGAGGCAGAGCTTGCACTGAGCCGAGATTGCATTCTTGACCACTGTATTCCAGCCTGGGCAACAAGAGTGAAATTCTGTCTCAAAAATAATAAATAAACAAATAAAGTATGTATCTCTGGCCCTACCCTCAGAAATTCTGATTTCCTTAGGCTTGGAGTAAGACCTCAAATCTATACAACTAGCTGAGATTAGCAAATATCTCAGTAACAACTGTCTCAGCTAAGTCTAATGCCAGGGTTTAGAACTTCTACATTTTTTCTTTGTTTTTAAAAACAGAGTCTCACTCTGTTACCCAGGCTAGAGTGCAGTGGTACGATCTCGGCTCACTGCAACCTCTGCTTCCTGGGTTCAAGCAATTCTTCTGCCTCAGCCCCCTGAGTAGCTGAGATTACCATGACCAGACTTGGTGGTAGGTACCTGTAATCTAATTTTTTTTGTATATTTAGTAGAGACGAGGTTTCACCATGTTAGCCAGGGTGGTCTCAAACTCCTGACCTCAAGTAATCTGCCTGCCTTGGCCTCCCAAAGTGCTGGGATTACAGGTGTGAGCCACCGCACCTGGGCTAGAACTTCTATAGAATCAGGTTCTAACTCATTTTTGCAGCTTTCAAAAGACTCTCATGATCTGGCCCTTTTGCCTGTCTTTCTATTCTTGTTTGTTGACCTAAACCCATCATCATTTTAGCTTCTGAAGAGTTGTAGTTCCCTCAACGTAGCAGGTTGTTCACATCGCCGTTGGTCATCCCCGTGCCTGTGAGGCTTCCCCAGCCCTAGCCACCTTTTGAGTTTGGAAGCCACCCACCTGCCTCATGGCAGAGGGTATCTCCTACCCTGTGCTTCCTCTTTGTGGACACTTAAACTGTGATCTATTATGTAATTTTTTTATTAGTACTTTGTTCCAGCTTCAGAGTCAAAAGACTCTTTAAAATTTATCTTTGTGTACTTTATGACATATGAATTATATCTCCATTAGCTGTTTTTTTAAAAATGTATTAGTGTCTCTTGTGCCTAGCACAAATCATAGTATGTTGTAGATAATCTGTAAATATTTATTCATTTCAGGAATGACAGTCTTCATTTACTCTTCTTTCAACTTGCAGAAAACACTTGCTGAGCAGAATTTGGAGGATACCAGACAACAGCTCTTGGCAGCCAGAAACAGCCAGGCCAAGGCCATTAATGCCCTGGAAACTCGGGTACTGATCTTACTCCTGGTATTTCTTACCTTCGGGCAGAAACCTGGCTGAATGGCAACATGGTGTGACTGAGAATCTTCTTGGTCAGAGTTTTTTCATTAGAAGGGATTATTTTCGGATCTTACCTATACAGGGATGAGTTAGTCATTTTCTTCATTCTTGACACATTGCCATGATTGAGTTCTGTGTTTATTTCTAACCTTTTATTCTTGTTGGCCTCCCTCTCATAGGAAACCATTCCAGCATGGTCATATAGATGCATTTATTGTTGGGTTACCTTAAAATATGTAGCACTGTTTTGTGTGCATGTGCTTTTAATTTTTGTAAATGATACAGCTATGGATGTGTCTCATCTGTTACTTTCAGCTGCCTCAACTCTGTACCCACTTCTTTGCTTGTAGTTGTCTACATGGTAGACTTCCAGATTGCTTCCTTCTTCCTGCCACCTCAGATCATGCATAAAACCTAAAGCGACTAAGTATTATAGAACAAGATTGTTCCAGCAAGCCTGCATCTGGCTCTCCTTCTCCAGCAGGCATGAGGGTTCCTGTATATGCCTCTCTTTTCCAGCATTGACACTTCCAAGCCTTTAAAATTTTTGACAGTTTAGTGAGTGTGGAGTGGTATTTCATTACTTTAATTTGCATTGGTATGGTTATTAACGAGTTTGGCCTTATCTTCATGTGCCTGTTAATTCTTTGGGGTCTCCTTGTGGAATTGCCCAATTCATATCCTTTCCTTGTTTTCTTTGGGGGTTTCAGTACTTTCTTATTTGGTTTGTAAGATTTCATTGTATATTCTTGTTCCTAATGCTTTGTCAGTTTTAATCCTGAATCAGTCTGTTAACTGTCCGTGTATCCTTTGTTGAATAGAAATTTGTAAGTTTGATGTAATCAGATTCATCACTTTTTTCCTGTGGAGTTTGAAGTGCCATTTAAGAAATCTGTTCCTGCTCCTAAGTCACAGAGATCTACTGTTTTTTGCCTATTAAGTTTATAATTTTATCCTTCACATAATAGATCTCTAATTCATGTAAAAACTATCTTTCTGTATGGTCTTAGTTAGGGATCTAAATATGCAGAAATTCTCATATTTCTCAAAATCATTTACTAAACAATCTGTCCTTTCTGAATTGATTTTTCTTGCTAACTTTATCACATATTGTTTCCTTCTGCACATGGGTTTCTCTCTGCATTCTCTATCCATTGGTCTGATTGTCTGCTCTTGTGTAAATACTACAATGTTTTTATTATTGTAGTATATCTCAACTGTCAATAAGACAAATTCTCTTTATTTATTTTCCTTTATTTTATTTTTTTGTTTTGTTTTGCTTTTTACACCAACCTGCTTCCATACTAAAATTCTTTTTTTTGAAGATTGACCTTAACTACTTGTGGGCCTTTAAAGTTTTTAAGTTTTTGAGTTTCTAAAAAAATTCAACTTGAATTTTTATTGGGATTGCATTAAATGTACAGGCTAATTGGGAAGAATTGTCCGTTTTATAAAATTAATTATATTAATCATTCCTTCTAAGAATGTAAATATTCAGATTATTTTCTGTGTGTTTTATTAAAATTTTACATTTTTCTCAACAGATGTCTTATTTTCTTGGCTAAGTTGTTAATTCCTAGAAACTTTAGAGTTTGTGTTGATACTGTGATGGTATCTTTTTTTTTTTCTTAATTGTACTTTAGGTTCTGGGGTACATGTGCATATCTTGCAGGGTTGTTGCATAGGTACATACATGGCAAGGGGTATCTTATTTTTAATCTTTTTTTTTTTTTTTTTTTTTTGAGAGGGACTCCTGCTCTGTTGCCCAGGTTGGAGTGCAGTGGCTCTGTCTCAGCTCATTACAGCCTCTGCCTCCTGGGTTCCTGTGATTCTCCTGCCTCAGCCTCCCAAGTAGCTGGGATTACAGGCGTATGCCACCACACTCAGCTAATTTTTATATATTTAGTAGAGATGGGATTTCACCATGTTTGTGAGGCTAGTCTGGAACTCCTGACCTCAGGTGATCCACCTGCCTCAGCCTCCCAAAGTGTTAGGATTACAGGTATGAGTTACCACACCTGTCCCTTATTTATTTTAATTTTTATTTTTTGGAGACATAGTCTCCCTCTATCCCCCAGGCTGAAATGCGGTGGTCCAATCTTGGCTCACTGCAACCTCCGCCTCCCAGGTTCAAGCAATTCTCCTGTCTCAGCCTCCTGAGTAGCTGGAATTACAGGCACATGCCACCACGCCCAGCTAATTTTTGTATTTTAGTAGACACGGGGTTTCACCACGTTGGCCACGCTGGTCTCAAACTCCTGACCTCAGATGATCTGCTCATCTCAGCCTCCCAAAGTGCTCAGATTACAGGTGTGAGTCACCATGCCCTACTCTTATTTTTAATCCTATTTTAAATTTTTTATTTCTGGTTATTCTAGAGAAATGCTCCCCCTTTTTTAAATTGATCTTGGATATCACACCCCTGCTGAACTTTTTACTCTACTATTGTATGATTTTTTTTTCCCCTAGGTAGATAATCATATTGTCCGTGAAAAATGACAACATTATCTTATTTCTTTTTTTTTTTTTTTTTTTTGAGACGGAGTTTCGCTTTTGTTACCCAGGCTGGAGTGCAATGGTGCAATCTCGGCTCACCGCAACCTCTGCCTCCTGGGTTCAGGCAATTCTCCTGCCTCAGCCTCCTGAGTAGCTGGGATTACAGGCACGTGCCACCATGCCCAGCTAATTTTTTGTATTTTTTTAGTAGAGACAAGGTTTCACCATGTTGACCAGGATGGTCTTGATCTCTTGACCTTGTGATCCACCCGCCTCGGCCTCCCAAAGTGCTGGGATTACAGGCTTGAGCCACCGTGCCCAGCTTATCTTATTTCTTGTAATTTTCCCACCTCTTACTCCATTTTCTGTTCATTTAACATTGAAGGGCCTCCAGACTAAGTGAAGCAATAATAGTGTAGTGGGAATCTTTGTTTTGTTCCCAGTCTTAAAGGAAATGTGCCTGAAGTTTTGTTACTTGGTATAAAATTTGCAGGATTTTGGTATGTATATATGTATGTATGTATGTATGTATTTATCTGAGACAGAGTGTTACTCTGTCATCCAGGCTGGAGTGTAGTGGCATGATCTTGGCTCACTGCAACCTCCGCCTCCCAAGTTCAAGCGATTCTCCCACCTCACCCTCTGAAGTAGGTGGGTTAACAGGTGCCTGCCTCCACACCTGCCTAATTTTTAAGTTTTTAGTAGAGACGGAGTTTTACTATGTTGGCCAGGTGGGTCTTGAACTCCTGACCTCAAGTGATCCACCCACCTCAGCAGTCCAAAGTACTGGGATTAGAGGTTTGAGCCACGGTGCCATTTATTTAATATATATTTTCCCACCCACCTCATTATCTTAGAGGTTTGTAGCATTTAATCTTTACTGTTTTTTGTTTTGGTTTGGTTTTGGTTTTGGTGTTTTTTTTTTTTTTAATAGGGTCTTACTCTGTCACCCAGGCCAGAGTGCAGTGGTACTATCAAGGCTCACTGTAGCCTTGACCTCCTGTGCTCAAGCAATTCTCCCACCTCAGCCTCCCAAGTAGCTGGAAATACAGGCATGTGCCACCATGCCTGGTTAATTTTTGTATTTTTTTGTAGAGATGGGGTTTGGCCATGTTACCCAGGCTAGTCTTGAACTCTTGAGCTCAAGATATCTGCCCATCTTGGCCTTCCAAAGTGCTGGAATTATAGTCTTGAGCCACCACACTCAGACTGCTTTTGTTTTTCTTTTTTGAGATGGAGTCTTACTCTGTCACCCAGGCTGGAGTGGAGTGACATGATCTTAGCTCACTGCAAACTTTGCCTCCCGGGTTCAAGCGATTTTCCTGCCTCAGCCTCCCGAGTAGTTAGGACTACAGGTGCACGCCACCACGTTTGGCTAATTGTACTTTTACTAGAGACGGGGTTTCCACACGTTGGCCAGGCTGGTCTTGAACTCCTGACCTCAGATGATCTGCCTGCCTTGGCCTCTCACAGTGCTGGGATTACAGGCGTGAGCCACTGCACCTGGCCTTTTTTCTTTTGTTTTGTTTTGTTTTGTTTTTTAATCAGAAAATTTTAGAAGTCTGTCATGTGCTCTACTTGCACTAATTGAAAAAAATCATGGCCAGGCATGGTGGCTCACATCTGTAATTCCAGCACTTTGGGACGTCAAGGTGGGATGATTGCTTGAGCTCAGGCATTCCATACCAGTCTGGGCAATACAATAAGACCCTGTCTCTAGAAAAAAATAGAAAAATTAACTGGGCGTGGTGGCATGTACCTATGGTCCCAACTACAAAGGAGGAGGAAGTGGAAGGATCACTTAAGTCTAGGCAGTCAAGGCTGTGGTGAGCCATGATCATGCCACTGTACTCAAGCCTGGGCAACAGAGTGAGACCTTGTTTCAGAAATACATACACATAAATTATTTTTCCATTCATCTATTAGTGTGAATTACATTAATATATTTTCTGATGTTGAACCATTGTTGCATTGCATTCCTGGGATAACTACCTCTTGATGTATTATTTTTGTAATAAATGTTTGAATTTGGTTAGCTAATATTTTATTTAGAGTTTTTGCATCTATATTTAAAATTGAAGGGGCTTGAAATTATCCGGTTGTAGAATCATGCTACACCAGCCTTATTAAAACAGCTGGGTAGCTTTTGTATTTTCTGAAACAATTTATATTAAGATATAATTTATTTAAAATTAATACATATATAAACTTGGCAGCATTTACCTATAAAACCATTTGGACCTGGGTTTTTGAAGGGAGGGACAACTGTGATTATAATTTCAATCTTCATTGCTTATTAGACTAACCTTTTTCTTTTTTTTTTTTTTGAGATGGAGTTTCGCTCTTGTTACCCAGGCTGGAGTGCAATGGCGCGATCTCGGCTCACCGCAACCTCCGCCTCCTGGGTTCAGGCAATTCTCCTGCCTCAGCCTCCTGAGTAGCTGGGATTACAGGCATGCGCCACCATGCCCAGCTGATTTTTTGTATTTTTAGTAGAGACGGGGTTTCACCATGTTGACCAGGTTGGTCTCGATCTCTCGACCTCGTGATCCACCCACCTCGGCCTCCCAAAGTGCTGGGATTACAGGCTTGAGCCACCGCGCCCGGCCCACCTTTTTCTTTTTGCACCAATTTGACATCTTTTCTTTTTTCTAGACTTAACCATTTCATCTTGATTTTCCAATTTATTATCATGTAATACTCTTAAGATGTATTATCATAGAATAATATATTTGCCTATATACATATAATAGTGTTTTCTTTTTTAATCTCTGTTGTGTTCCCTTTTTCTGTATTTTGTTAATTTGCATATTCTTTTTTTCTGATCAGTCTTGCCAGAGCTGTTTCAGGATGGTGGAAACCAATCCTTGGACTAAATGTTGCTGGAAGACATGCCTACTCATTTACATATTGTTTATAACTGTTTTCTTGCTACCATGGCCAAGTGAAAAAAACCATGGTATTTACTGGCTTTTTACATAAAAAGTTTGGCAACACCTGAACTATTTTATTAATCGTTTTAAAGAACTGCCTTTGGTTTCATCTTTTCAAATTTTTATTCTCTTTTTAAATTTCTATCTTTTATTATTATTTTTCTTCCTATTTCTTTAGGTTTGCTTCTTTTTTTTTTTTTTTTTTTTTTTTTTTTTTGTCTTTGAGACAGTCTCACTCTGTCACCCAGACTGGAGTGCAGTGGCGTAATCTCTGCTCATTGCAACCTCTGCATCCTGGGTTCAAGCGATTCTCCTGCCTCAGTCTCCTGAGGAGCTGGGACTACAGACACACGCCAGCATGTGTGGATAATTTTTTTTTTTTTTTTTTGCAACCTCTGCAACCTGGGTTCAGGCGATTCTCCTGCCTCAGCCTCCTGAGGAGCTGGGACTACAGACACGTGCCAGCATGTCTGGATAATTTTTTTTTTTTTTTTTTAAGTAGAGATGGGGTTTCACCATATTGACCAGGCTGGTCTTGAACTCCTCACTTCATGGTTCACCTGCCTGGCTTCCCAGAGTGTTGGGATTATAGGCGTCAGCCACTGCACCTAGCCGCTCCATTATTTTTGTAGTTTCTTTATTTTGGGTGGAGGGGGAACAGAGTCTTGCTCTGATGCCCAATCTGGAGTGAAGTGTCCCAATCTCAGCTTACTATAACCTCGGCCTCCTGGGCTCAAGCGATTCTCCTGCCTCAGCCTCCCAAAGAGCTGGGATTACAGGTGTGCCCCATCACGCCCGGCTCATTCTATTGCATTTTTAGTAGAGACAGGGTTTCACCCTGTTGACCAGGCTGCTCTCAGACTCCTGACCTCAAGTGATCTGCCCACCTCAGCCTCCCAAAGTGCTAGGATTACAGGTGTGAGCCATCATGCCAGCCAGTTTTTTAAATTTCTTGAATTGAATGTTTATTTCATTTTTTAAATCTTTCTTATTTCCTGATAAATACATTTTAAACTATATTTTTCTAAAAAGACTGTTTTGTTTTACTGTAATTTCAGTTTTATTTCTGAATATCCTTTATGATCAATTCAGTGTACATTGTTGTACAAATATCAGCACTATCCATCTCCAAAACTTTTTCATCTTCCCAAACAAAAACTTACTAAACAGTAACTCCCCAGTTCCTCCTACCCCTAGTCTGGGAACCACCACTCTATTTTCTGTCTCTTTGAGTTTGAATACTCTAGATACCTCATATCAGTGGAATCATACAATGTTTGTCCTTTTTTTTTTTTTTTTTTTTGGAGACGGAGTTTCGCTCTTGTTACCCAGGCTGGAGTGCAATGGCGCGATCTCGGCTCACCGCAACCTCCGCCTCCTGGGTTCAGGCAATTCTCCTGCCTCAGCCTCCCGGGTAGCTGGGATTACAGGCACACGCCACCGTGCCCAGCTAATTTTTTGTATTTTTAGTAGAGATGGGGTTTCACTATGTTGACCAGGATGGTCTCAATCTCTTGACCTCGTGATCCACCTGCCTTGGCCTCCCAAAGTGCTGGGATTACAGGCGTGAGCCACCGCGCCAATGTTTGTCCTTTTATGTCTGGCTTATTTGACTTAGTGTAATGTCTTCACTGTTCGTCTATGTTGAAGCATGTGCCAGAATTTTATTCCTTTTTAAGGCTGAATAATATTCCATTATATGTATAGACCACATTTTGTTTCTCCATTCATTCATTGATGGACATTTGGGTTCCACTTGTCTTTTTTTAAATTATTATTTGGTCTTTTTTCCCCCTTTTTGTAGAGAACTGGGTCTCCCTATGTTGAGGTCTTCAATTCTTGGGCTCAAGCTATGCATTTGTTTCTCTAAGTGCTGGGCTTGCAGACATGAGCTACCACTCCTGTAAGCCCAGCACTTAGGGAGGCAAGGCATAGCTTTCTTTTCTTTTTTTTTGAGACAGAGTCTCGCTCTATCACCCAGGCTGGAGTGCAGTGGTACCATCTTGGCTCACTGCAGCCCCCACCCCGCAGGTTCAAGCAATTTTTGTACTTAACCCTCCCGAGTAGCTGGGACTACACATGTGCACCACCATGCCTTGTATTTTTAGTAGAGGCAGGGTTTTGTCATGTTGGCCCAGCTGATCTTGAACTCCTGGCCTCAAGTGATCTGCCTGTCTTGGCCCTCCAGAGTGCTAGGTTTACAGGCATGAGCCACTGCACTCAGCCCACACCCAGCTTTTGATGGACATTTGAGTTGTTTCTGTCTTTTGGCTGTTGTGAATAATGCTACCATGAAATTCCTGTACAAGGTTTTTGTGTGGACTTAATGTTTTCATTTCTCTTAAGTATATACCTAGGAATAAAATAAAATTGCAGGCTCATATGGTAACTTCTTGTTTAATCTCTTGAGGATCTGAATCTGCCTTGAGCTTGGCTTCTAAATTAAGACTCAGATATTTTCTGATCTTAGGAGTATAAAACTATGTCTTGCTCTTAGCACTACCACCAATAAAATTTGCATTCATGAGCTGGTAACGACCCTGTTCTTCCCTGTGGACTAGTAGCCCCTTTGTCATGGGATCATTTCAGTTAAATCTAACATGTGAATGTATGTGAGGAGCCTGGGACTTAAAAACATTCTCTCCTTCGGCCGGGCGCAGTGGCTCAAGCCTGTAATCCCAGCACTTTGGGAGGCCGAGGCGGGTGGATCACGAGGTCAAGAGATCGAGACCATCCTGGTCAACATGGTGAAACCCCGTCTCTACTAAAAATACAAAAAATTAGCTGGGCATGGTGGCACGTGCCTGTAATTCCAGCTACTCAGGAGGCTGAGGCAGGAGAATTGCCTGAACCCAGGAGGCGGAGGTTGCGGTGAGCCGAGATCGCGCCATTGCACTCCAGCCTGGGTAACAAGAGCGAAACTCCGTCTCAAAAAAAAAAAAAAAAAAAAAAATTATCTCCTTGTGTGTCTGCCTCTCCTTCACCGACCTGCATGCAGCCTTCCTTGTGCTTATGTTTGATAATAGAACTCCCCAAGGCCAGACCTTATTCAGCAATAAGAAGGCTTTATAAGAGAAATTCACAGATACAGCTCGAATCTGGCAAAAATGTCAACTTGGAGAGCCAAGTGCAACTCAGTAGTAGAGAGTGAGTCCCTCAGGGCAAGTCTGCATCTGTCCCACTCACTGCACTGGCATTGTGCCCTGGTGTAGTTCGTGGTATGGAGTCAGCCTTGTTTAGTATTCGTATAATGAGTAAGTCCTGAATTTGTATTGTGAGCAGTAATCCCACTTGAGGGACGCGGTCCTAAGGAAGTCATTCAAACCATGTAAAAAAATACTTGTGATGTTAATTGCTGCATTATTTTAGATGGAAAACAGCCTAAGTAGCCAGCACAGTAGGCATATGGGTCAGTAAATTACAAAATACTATTAAGGACATAATGATCTGAGTCCAGAGATTACCTGGAGACAGAAGGATGTTTAAGAGTGGGGAAAAGATAAAGCTTTACATTGTCTTATTAAAACTATATAAAGTTGGCCGGGCGCAGTGGCTCAAGCCTATAATCCCAGCACTTTGGGAGGCCGAGGTGGGTAGATCACGAGGTCATGAGATTGAGACCATCCTGGTCAACATGGTGAAACCCCGTCTCTACTAAAAATACAAAAAATTAGCTGGGCATGGTGGCACATGCCTGTAATCCGAGCTACTCAGGAGGCTGAGGCAGGAGAATTGCCTGAACCCAGGAGGCGGAGGTTGCGGTGAGCCGAGATTGCGCCATTGCACTCCAGCCTGGGTAACAAGAGCAAAACTCCGTCTCAAAAAAAAAAAGGAAAATACATTAGAATGCTAGTGTTTTATAATGGTAGACTTATGGGGTATCTTGTTTCTCAGGTTACATTTTTATATAATGTACCTGTTTTATTATTTAAATTGCTTTGCATTTTAAAGCCATTTGTTACCACTATTCAGCTTCTTGTGAACAGAAAGAATGCTTCTGCTTCCCTCTCAGGTGAGAGAACTGGAGCGGACCTTGCAGGCCTCTGAGGAGCAGCTCCAGCAGAGCAGGGGCGTTGTGGCTGCCCAGGAAGCTCAGATACAGGAACTCGTAAGTGGTTATTGGAGCTGCTGTATTCCAGGCCCTTAATGCTCTCTCTCCAGGCCTTTGCAGATGCCCCAAACTCCTTCTCAACTTCGGCAAGGATACCTGGGCCTGCCCATAGATATAGTTCATGTGTTGCATGTGAACAGGCCGGCAGCAGGGGGTGGAGGGAGTCAGGACCTATTGGTGGGCCTGAGTTAACCTGGGTGGTAGACCAGCTGCTCCTTTCCACCTGACATCCCACCTTCAGGTCCAGCCTGGTCCTGGGGTTGTCAGAGGTGACAGTTCCACTAGAAGTCAAACTTCAACTTGCAATCAGGGGCAGGGAGAACAAGCCCAGACTCTGGGGAGAGGATGGCCAGGGCTTGGTGTGGAGTTGGAAGGTGGGGGAATCAAACCAGTCAGTGTGTATTTCATATTCGCCATGTCCCAGGCACTGGGCTCAGTGCTGTGCACGTGCTTTCGTTTAGTGCTTGCAGGAGACCTGAAAAGTATGCACCGTCATCCTCATCCTGTAGACGAGGCCAGCTTAGAAGGATTGGCTCAGTAGCCCACAGGCTTGCAGCCAGTAGATGGCAAAACCCACATGTTTCTTATGTCAAAGCCCTGTTCTTCATTACTGTATTATACTGCCTCCCCAGGGAAAGCCGTAGCCACCCAGGCAACACTGAATAGTGTGAAGGAGGCCTGTGTCTAAGGGCTGGCTGGTGCCCAGAGCTGTCCCCACACAACTTGAGGATGGAGTGAAGACATCAAGACTTCATCTCCTGCAACAGGCCAGGGTCCAGGAGCAACAAGCAGAGCCTGCAGCAGGGAGTTCAGCAACACTAGGGAGGAGGGGGTCAGGAGAGAGTTGTTTCTGTTGGATACCCATCTTTTCACCAAGGTCCAGACTGAGGTCCCCCACTGGAAACCAGTGTTACCATGACTGACCGTCCTCTGGTCTCCCCACAGGCTGCTGCTAGCCAGGAGAGCAGCCATGTGCAGCAGCAGGCCCTTGCTCTGGAGCAGCAGTTCGCAGAGCGCACCCAGGCCCTAGAAGCCCAGATTGTGGCCCTGGAGAGAGCACGGGCAGCTGACCAGACCACCGCAGAGCAAGGGATGGTGAGTGAAGAGCTGAGAGAGGGTGGGCCCAGGAGCACCAGGGTCCCGCACAGCAAAGTCAGCGTGCTCAACAGCACAGCACTCTCTCTGCATGAGGGAACCACTTTAGAGGGCAGTGCTTTTTTTTTTTTTTGCTTTGAGACAGTGTCCCGTTCTGTCACCTAGGCTGGAGTACAGTGGCATGATCACAGCTGACTGCAACTCCAACCTCTCAGACTCAAGTAATCCTCCTTCCTCAGCCTCCAGAGTAGCTGGGAGTACAGGCGTGCACCACCACAGCCCACTAATTTTTTTTTTTTGGAAAGACAAGGTCTCACTATGTTGCCCAGGCTGGTCTCAAATGCCTAGGCTCAAGGGATCTGCCACCTCAGCCTCCCAAAGTGCTGGGATTACAGGCGTGAGCCACTGCACTGAGAGCAGTTCTTATCTTTCCAGAGACAACCTGCTCATGAGACTAGATTTTTACTGCTTTTTACAAAACTCAAAACAGTTTTCTTTTTCCTTTGGCCCCACAGGGACTTCCTGCTTTCTGACCAGTCCCCTCTCCTTCTTCCTATTAGATTTTAAAATGTATGTTGTTCCTCTCTATACCTTCTTCTTCCTGGTCCATGCTCCCTATGCCCCAGGGAAATATGGTAGTGAAGGCTTTTCTTTTTATATATGTTCTTCTAAATTGGCAGAGACAACTGGAGCAAGAAAATGCAGCCCTTAAAGAAAGCAAGAATGAATGTGAACGTTCTTTACAACATCACCAGTTTGAACTAAAGAAGCTAAAGGTATTTATCTAACTGAATCAGTGTTTCACAAAAGTGTTCAAATTTTTACATGTGTATTCACAGTGCCCCACTTCTCATACTTACAGTATGGGAGGAGTAGAATTAGCATATGTTCAATAGTTCTGTTAGGCATCTGCCAGAAATTGCTGCTTCATTAAGTTCTTTCAGGGATCCAGGATGGTAAGAAGAATTATGCTTATTTGGCAGTCAATGTTATTGAGGTTCCAAGGGTAAACCATTTGTACAAGTTGCATAGCTGGTTAGAGGTGGTGCTAGTCTGACTTCACCCTACCACCTAGGAGGTCGACCAGTGGATCCTTTCCACCTGACACAAAGGCCATCCCTTCCTCTGGCATCAACAGCTGCTTGAAAGTCATGCTATCAAAACACTGCTCTGGCTGATACTGCCAGGGAGACCGTTAAGCAAGACTTTAAAAGATGATAAAAGGCACGGTGGCTTATACCTGTAATTCCAGCACTTTGGGAGGCCGTGGCAGGTGGGTCACGAGGTTAGGAGTTCGAGACCATTCTGGCCAACATAGTGAAACCCCATCTCTATTAAAAATACAAAAAATACAAAAAACAAGAAACAAACAAACAAAACAAAAAACAAAAAGAAAAAATAATAATAAAAATACGAAAAATTAGCCGGGTGTGGTGGTGTGTGCCTATAAGCCCAGCTACTCAGGAGGCTGAGGCAGGAGAATCATGTGAACCCAGGAGTTGGAAGTTGCAGTGAGCCGAGATTGCATCATTGTACTCCAGTCTGGACGACAGTGTAAGACTCCATCTCAAAAAAAAAAAAAAAATGATGATAAGGACCTTTGTTTTGTTTATTTATGTCAGGATCCATGTACAGAAATGAAGAAACAATCTGCTAGATTGTTATACTTTCTCTTCTGCAAATTTGGAGCTTTAATCAGATGATGCCTGTTTTATTCCATAAACATAACTGGATGCCGGGCGCGGTGGCTCAAGCCTGTAATCCCAGCACTTTGGGAGGCCGAGGCGGGTGGATCACAAGGTCGAGAGATCGAGACCAACCTGGTCAACATGGTGAAACCCCGTCTCTACTAAAAATACAAAAAATTAGCTGGGCATGGTGGCGCGTGCCTGTAATCCCAGCTACTCAGGAAGCTGAGACAGGAGAATTGCCTGAACCCAGGAGGCGAAGGTTGCGGTGAGCCGAGATCGCGCCATTGCACTCCAGCCTGGGTAACAAGAGCGAAACTCCGTCTCAAAAAAAAAAAAAAAAAAAAAAAACCATAACTGGATAAAGAGGAGGAAAGATTCTGTCAATTACTTATATGCCCCCAGACTCCCCCGGCCCCTTTCAAAGCACCTTGGATCCTGGGACATTGTAGTACTTGCCCGGCTTGGTCATGACTTGAAGATTTTATGGATCCTTTGGCAGCAATCTCTGAGAGCATCCATAGCTGAATGCCTGCACCTAGTAAGCGTCCAGTAATCAGATCTGATGACTGATGCAGATACTAATGCAATAGCATTGCATTGTGAGAAACATAGACTTTGGAGTCAGATTTTTCTTATGCATTCCTTCAACAAACATTTAAGTATCTGTAAGTGCCAGGCATCATTGTAGGTGCTGGGATGTATTAAATAGCAATGAGCCAGGTGCGGTGGCCCACACCTGTAATCCTAGTACTTTGAGAGGCCAAGGTGGGTGGATCACCTGAGGTCAGGAGTTCGAGACCAGCCTAGCCAACATGGTAAAAGCCGGTCTCTACTAAAAATACAGCAGTTAGCTGGGTGCGGTGATGCATTCCTGTAATCCTAGCTACCTGGGAGGCTAAGGCAGGAGAATTGCTTGAACGCGGGAGGCGGAGGCTGCGGAGAGCTGACATTGTGCCACTGTACTACAGCCTGGTGACAGAGCAACACTTTGTCTCAAAAAAAAAAGAAAAGAAAAAAAAAAACGAAAGAAAGAAAAGAAAACAGAGCAGGACAAGGACAGCCCTTGGGAGGTGTGGGAGGAGAGGGCTCTTTTCTTTTTTTTTTTTAATTTCTACATTGGCTCAGAAACAAAGAGAGGGCTCTTTTCTATGTGGAGTTAGGGAAGGCTTTGATGCTGGCAGAAGGGCCCGCAATGTGGATATTTGAGGAGGAATATTCCAGACAGAAGAAATAGCAAATATAAAGGCTCTGAGGCAAGAAAAAGTCTGGTCTCTTCAAAAAATAGCACAGAGGCCAGTGTGGCTACAGCTAGTATCAGGAGGAGAGCGTGGCTGGTGGTGAGGAGGGACATAGGCATTTGAAAGAATCACGAGAAGCCAGCCCTGGCAGGTCTTTTTTTGGTTTGTTTTTTTGAGACAAGGTCTTGCTCTGTTGCCCAGGCTGGAATGCAGTGGTGTGATCACAGCTGTCTGCAGCCTCAACCTCTCAGGCTCAAGCAGTCCCTCCTACCTCAGCCTCCTGAATAGCTGGGACTACAGGTGTGCACCACCACACCCTACTAATTTATTAATTTTTCTTTTGTAGAGACAGGGTCTTGCTATGTTAACCAGGCTGGTTTTGAACGCCTGGGCTCAAGAGATCCACTTCCCTTGCCCTCCCAAAGTGCTAGGATTACAGGGGTGAGCCACCACTCCTAGGCAGCCATGGCAGGTCTTAAGCAGATAAGTGACATGAGAAGTTTTCTTTTAAAAGGATTTCTCAGCTGGGTGTGGTGGCCCATGACTGTAATCCAAGCACTTTGGAGGCCAAGTCGGGCAGATCACCTGAGGTCGGGAGTTCAAGACCAGCCTGACCAACGTGGTGAAACCCGTCTTTAAAAAAAGAAAAATATAATAAATCAATAAAAAGAAAGGATTTCTCTGGCTGCCTGTGAAGAATGTTTAGTAAGGGAGGCATGAGCAGAAGCAGGAAGACTGTTTAGGAGACGTTTTAGGAATCTAAGCCAGGAGTGACTAGCACGTTAGTGGTGGACTTGGGAAGAAGAATTCAGATCAGGATTTATTTTAGAGATGGAGTTTTTTTGTCTGTTTTTTGTTTTTGAGACAGAGTCTTGCTTTGTCAGCCAAGCTGGAGTGCAGTGGAGTGATCTCAGCTCACTGTAACCTCGACCTCCTGGGTTCAAGCAATTCTCCTGCCTCACCTCCCGAGTAGCCGGGACTATAGGCATGTGCCACCTTGCCTGGCTAATTTTTGTATTTTTGGTAGAGACAGGATTTTACCATATTGGCCAGGCTGGTCTCAAACTCCTGACCTCAAGTGATCCACCTGCCTCAACCTCCCAAAGTGCTGGGATTACAGGCGTGAACCACCATGCCCTACTTGAGTTAGAGCTTTTAGAACTTAGGAATGAGAGAAAAAAAAGGAATTGTAGATGACATCTAGGTTTGATTTGTATAACTCAAGAGTTTCTCCACCTCAGTGCTATTGACATTTGAGGCCGGATGGCTCTCTGTTGTGGATGGTTCTGTGTTGTGGAGGTTCTGTGTTGGGGATGGTTCTCTGTTGTGGATGGTTCTGTGTTGGGGATGGTTCTGTGTTCGGGATGGTTCTCTGTTGTGGATGGTTCTGTGTTGTGGAGGTTCTGTGTTGTGGATGGTTCTGTGTTGTCGATGGTTCTGTGTTGTGCATGGTTCTGTGTTGGGGATGGTTCTCTGTTGTGGAGGTTCTGTGTTGTGGATGGTTTGTGTTGTGGATGGTTCTCTGTTGTGGATGGTTCTGTGTTGTGGAGATTCTGTGTTGTGGATGGTTCTCTGTTGTGGATGGTTCTGTGTTGGGGATGGTTCTGTGTTCGGGATGGTTCTCTATTGTGGAGGTTCTGTGTTGGGGATGGTTCTGTGTTGGGGATGGTTCTGTGTTGGGGATGGTTCTCTGTTGTGGATGGTTCTGTGTTGGGGATGGTTCTCTGTTGTGGATGGTTCTGTGTTGTGGATGGTTCTGTGTTGGGGATGGTTCTGTGTTGGGGATGGTTCTGTGTTGGGGATGGTTCTGTGTTGGGGATGGTTCTCTGTTGTGGATGGTTCTGTGTTGGGGATGGTTCTCTGTTGTGGATGGTTCTCTGTTGGGGATGGTTCTCTGTTGTGGATGGTTCTGTGTTGGGGATGGTTCTGTGTTGGGGATGGTTCTCTGTTGTGGATGGTTCTGTGTTGGGGATGGTTCTCTGTTGTGGATGGTTCTGTGTTGGGGATGGTTCTGTGTTGGGGATGGTTCTCTGTTGTGGATGGTTCTGTGTTGTGGATGGTTCTGTGTTGTGGATGGTTCTGTGTTGGGGATGGTTCTGTGTTGTGGATGGTTCTGTGTTGGGGATGGTTCTGTGTTGTGGATGGTTCTGTGTTGTGGATGGTTCTGTGTTGTGGATGGTTCTGTGTTGGGGATGGTTCTGTGTTGTGGATGGTTCTGTGTTGGGGATGGTTCTGTGTTGCGGATGGTTCTGTGTTGTGGATGGTTCTGTGTTGGGGATGGTTCTGTGTTGGGGATGGTTCTGTGTTGGGGATGGTTCTGTGTTGGGGATGGTTCTGTGTTGGGGATGGTTCTGTGTTGGGGATGGTTCTGTGTTGGGGATGGTTCTGTGTTGTGGATGATTCTGTGTTGGGGATGGTTCTCTGTTGTGGAGGTTCTGTGTTGTGGAGGTTCTATGTTGTAGATGGTCCTCTGTTGTGGAGGTTCTCTGTTGTATTTGCTGCAAATGTTCATGGTAGGCTGCTTAGGAGCATCCACCCACTAGATGTCAGTAGCAGCCCCACTTAGGACAACCACAGTGTCTCCAGACATTGCCAAATGTCTCGCGGGGGCAGAAGCACTACTGGCAGAGAACCACTGGGGTAACTGAATGAATAGGGTATGTACCATTCACTGAGACGGGGGTCCAGGGAAGTATGTCAAGAGTGGATTCCATTTTGGACATGTTGAGCTTTGGAGGCCCACCCATCAGGCATATCTGGTAGTCTGTAGGCTACAAGTCTGGAAATCAAAGCAGATTCTGAGTAGATCTATAAATTAGGAAACTTGTGTGCCTATATCCCAGCTGC